TGTATTTTACATGTATGAAACTTGTATGAAAACTGAATTGCAATTAGTTGCAGAAAGTTGACCGTGCTCTGTCTCTGACCTTTTGAGACGAGAAAAAGATGTAAGTTCTCGATTTCAGTGTATTTTTTTTTTCGTGTTACGCATTATCTTGGCCGATTTAGATGTTTCTTTTGCAATCGGTCATGCTTATTCCCTTGTCGGTTCTATCAAACGGTCATGTAACCTCTCTTACTAACATGACACGTACAGGGGGGGAAAAGGATTGTTAGTAATGGGGACTGGGAATCCCATTGCTAGCAATATACCCAACCAGGTCGACCTCCTCGCGGTTCCCCCTGGAAACTATCTATATGGTTAATTCCTGATGAATTCATCATGATGGGCTTACTGGCCTGTTTTCATTCTCATCTATCACCCTTCACTGGTGCTCCGCCAGCGTATCCCGTAAACGCAGGCGGGGCTACCATACCATTTTCACCCTAAAAAAAAACATGACACGTACACTTGTCAAATTGTATGGGTGGCTCAAAAATTTTTGTCGTTTTTTTTAAATCAATGTTTCCTTTGTAAAACAAGTTTGTTTGTAGAACACCCCCTTAAAATGATGCTGATCATCAGCCTTTGTATGAATTAATATACAAATCATATATGTATACAAATTATGTAATTTTTTTAATAGCTAATTATGGAATGGTAACCTCAAGGCGAAATTTTTTTATAGGATAAAAATGGAATATTAACCCTGCGTGTTATCGGTATACGCTGATAGGGCAGGCCAGTGAGATAGGTGAACATTTTTTTTATACAACTAATGAAATCAAGTTAGTTGGCCAATCGTGACGAGTTCGCCAGAAATTAACCATGATGATTACCAGGAAGGACTGCGTAGCCGTCGACCTGACAGAGCATTTAACTAGCAATGGGGAGGGGGAAAATCAATTATTAGTAATAGGGTCTAATATGTTATCCCATCCCTGGTATTGCAGACGTTCATAGGCTACGGTAGCCGCTTACCATCAGACGAGCCGTATGCTTGTTTGCCACCACAGGGGTACAAAAAAATCCAAGTTAGACAAATTCCACATTCTGATTCACTGACACCATAACGATGCGGTTTGCTTTACATATTTAAAAATGGAAAACGTATCGGTATCAGAAAGCAATTAAAACGACGAGTAAGGGAAATTGAACTCTATGTTCTAAAGATAAGACATATTAAACTAATACACATTCAGACCGCCGCCATTTTAGTATGCAGTGCACATACATAGGACGCGTAGTAATTGCTACTTATCAATATAATTACCTAATTGTTAAAACAATAAATATTTGTTTGCTCTTAGTATTGTGTTGACAATATTTTTAACTACAGAATAAGGTTTATTTATTTATTGCATTCCATAATATAATTAGTAGATAACATTTCAACTTCAATTATGGACCCTGTTGGGCACAGCAAGTACGAGAGTGGTTCTTCAAAAAGAGCATAATATAAGTATATATATATATATATATATATATATATATATATATATATATATATATATATATATATATATATATATATATATATATATATATATATATATATGTGTATATATATGTATATATATATACATATATATATATATATATATATATATATCACGCCTGTCTTCCATCACGGTAGACAAAAACAACAGTTCTTCAAAAAGGACATATTAAGATTTTTTGAAGATAATCAACGCACGCGTGACATCCCTAGTGTTAGCGTTTATAGGCCACGGTAACTCTGTTTACAGGCCAGACGGGCCGTATGCTTGCCTGCCATTGTAGTGTTTTTTTTTTTTTTTTTTTTTTAAAAAGTGTATATTCTTAGCAGTGAAATTCTAAATTTTAGATAAATATATGTTGCATCATATCAGGGTTGATTCCGACGTGTCTTTTTTTTATTTTATATGTTAATCTGTTATTTTAATTTGATAGTTTTGTGAAATTAATTTTTTAAAGAATTTATTTTCTTCTATTTTATTATGATATAGTTCTTTTCTTTTTTTTTTTATTTATCTTTTTTTTTTATCGATACGAAGTTGTACGATAACAATGTTTATAATTAAATTTACTTGAATAAAAAATATTTATTATTATTACTTTGATAAAATAGATTTATTATAAATTTTTAGTTTAAATCTATTAGGAAATTAATATATTTTATTAATCTTTTTATAATAAAAAATTGCTGTAATATCAAACACATATACTCCATGACGCCTGAAAACATTGTGCTCGTTTTTTCAAGTACTAACCTTGCAGTGAATTAAAAAAAAATTACGATTTAAAAGTGCTTGTAAAAAAGTCTATTTGAATTTGTATTTATAGAGTCGTGTATCTGTATTTTTGATCAATTCTCAAAAATATTTTTTTTATAACTTTTTTATTATTATCTTAAAGTAATTTTTCATTTACCTAAAACACAATATTTATATATCATAAATCTATCAAGAAACTTTTTGTAACTTCATAATCATAGTAATAAATACATATGAATAAAATTATTTATTTGCACCGGCTCGTACTACCTACATAGAAATGATTTCATTGATGTTTCCAAATAGTTGCCGATATTATTCTTGATAATAATCCCACAATGTCAGTAATGGTTTGATTTCAATCATATTGCATAATTAAAAACTTAGTTTTACTATGAAAAAATATTACCTTTAAAAGATATGTGAAATTGTTTTGTCAGTTGACGCACACGTAGCTGCGGTATTTAAAAACCCTTTTAGGAGCAAATGAGGCACCAAGTCGTGGCCCCTTTAAATTTACAATTGCCCATCTTCGTATTGGACTATCGCCTCTCATATAATATCTAAAGATAATTATTTAGTTTACATACGAAGTGTGTTTGTCGGGTCGTATTCCGGGCAAGCGGGCGAGTCAAGTTGAAGGCCGATGCTGCGTGACGCGCCGTTTCGCGCCAAACTAGCCTAGCCTACCCAGTACAACAGTGTAGAGTAGAGGCGGTTCTAGTTCATTGTTCGAATATTAGTTCGAATACTCGTTAAAAATATCGATTACTGACTCGAATTCGGATAAGTGCTGTTAACGTTTTGCCTGTACTTACATTAGATTTTGACTGTAAGATATACCGGATTGACTTTTCATGTGTTTTTGTTAACAAAAAACATTGTAACTTAATCTGGTATTTCTTATAGTTAAAGTAATTGTGTGGATATTCGAATACTTAGATCGAGTTTAATTTTCAATTTATTTCTCTAATTTACTTTTGATAAAGATAATTATTTTGTCATTTAATAAAACTAGCTGTATCCCGCCGCTTTGCCCGCATAGATTAGTACACAAGATATCCTATTTAGGATTTAACCTACTTTATGTATCAAATTTTATTTCAATCCCTTTAGTAGTTTTTGATTGAATGAAAATAAGCATCTATCCATCTATCCTTACAAACTTTCGTATTAACAATATTAGTAGGATTTTTTTTTTTTGGTAAATATGGAAAAAATAAGGAAACAAAAACGTTACAACGATAAACACTTGACCAGTATTTATATATCACAAATACTTGAAATCTGTATTCGAAAATCGTGTTTGCGAATGTGTATGTTGAGTATTCGAGGACCAAAATATCCATCTGGTAAACGAGTCAGCTCGACTCGGCACATCACTAAACTAGCATCTTGTACAATTGCCAACGTTATATTTCGTCGCATTTAACTTTATACTTTATTCCCTCTATATAGAGTTTAAATAATGCGATATCATATTTGTGGAGTATTGTACGCTGGCATAGAGTATTATGTAAAAAAAAAAAGAAACATTATTCCTTATTGGGATCTTGGCCCATCGATTTTATCCGTTACCTACGTTACGTTGCGACGTATAATTTCAACTACGTACTAAGTATTTGTGACATGCTCTTACTATGACGGCTGTTTCCACTTGGGCGGATTGCACGATATTTGTTGACCATCAAAAATGGAGGTTGTCAAATAGACTTTACTTTTTTACGACTTTCTTCTTGTGTAGTATTATTATTTTTTTTTTTTTAATATCGCACGATTTGGCGCCAATTGTTATTCAATTAGGACTTTTTTTTTATAATCAAAGGGGCATTTCAGTATTGTATTGACTTGAAAAAATCCACAGATTAAGGTTAAGGGTCAACCTTAAAATCTACGAATCGTGGTCGGGCAATATTAAAGTATTAGTAAAATCAATTAAAATTTGTAAATTTAAAATGATTATTTTAATATTAATTCAAAATAATTATTAATAATATAAATTTAATGCTAATTAATTTATCTTTATCCTTGTAGTCCTGGCATAAAATAGGCCACCCCTTCCTTTGCCGTAAGTATCGTAAGAGGTAACTAAGGAGCAACAAGGGATGGGCAGCAGCGTCCCTCTTAAAACATCTCTAAATTTTCAATGCGGTAGCCAACTGCCTGCCAAGTGTGGCAACTACTGGAACCCAAGGGGTAGGCTTATGTTCAGCAGTGTACAGTTAGGGGCTGCAATGATGTTGATGATTAATTAATTCTATATGATATTAATAATAACTAGAAAACATTACGCTAAGGCTGTCTTGAAAAGATTGCTCTCAGCAATAAGACCGCCTTACTGTACTTATACAATTGTATTCTTACATTTATTATCTTGCTTATTACCTATATGTATTTTTTTTAATGGATGATAATGGAATGGTAAGCCCCACTTGCGTTATCAGTATACGCTGGCGGAGCACCAGTGAGGGATGTGAAAAGGAACGTCAGTTAAGCCATCCTAACGAATGCAACCATAAATTCGTCACGATGGTTTCCAGGAGGAACCGCGTGAAGGTCGACCTGATAGATTGATATTAATAGGGATTACCGCCTCATTGATACAATCCCTTCCCCCCGCTTAATCCTATATTATATAATGCAAATAAAATATACTCATTCATTCATTAAAAAATTGAAGTCGCTAAAGAAATTTTTTTTTTTTGCCACCAGGTAAAGAAGTACAGAAAAGGTGGCGCTCAATACGTGACTCATATACCAAAGCGTACAGGCAGGGCAAGTGTGTCCCACCGGAGCATTGCCAGCCGGGTAGCCGACGCTACCAATACCACAAGCAGATGGCATTTCTGCTGCGCGCCTTACAGAACAAGTTAGTATAAAAATCACTTATCGCCGTATCCTCAGATAGAATTTTAATCTATGCTTTATTTATATTTTTATAAACATTTTTTTTTATAAATTTGTGTACCTAATGGAGATTGCTCGGGGGGAAAGGGATTGTTAGTAATGGAGACTAAAAATCCCATTGCTAGCAATATACCCAACCAGGTCGACCTCCTCGCGATTTTCCCTGGATACTATCATGGTTAATTCCTGATAAATTCATCATGATAAGCTAACTGGCCTGTTTTCATTCTCATCGATCACCCTTCACTGGTGCTTCGCCAGTATATCCCGTTAGCGCAGGCGTGGTTACCATACCATTTTCACCCATAAAAAAAAGGAGGTTGCTCATAGAGGACTTTTTTTATTGGGTGATAATGGAATCGTAACCTTTCGCTATTGGTATACGCTGACGGGGCACCAGTGAGATGATAAATGAGGATAAAACAGACCCATAGTGACGAATTTAGACGGAATTAACCAAGATGGTTTTTAGGGGAAGCCGCGTGGAGGTAGACCTGGTAACGTGTATTGCTAGCAATGAAGCTGTCGATCCTTATTACTAATAATCACTTTCCCAGAGGACTTATCTACTTTTACCGTCCACTGTTCATCTACCTATCTATTAGAAAATAATGATTAAATGTCCCTGGTAGTCTATTGGCTTAATGCGTCTTCCAATGGTCACAGGTTCTATTCCCATACTACGCAAACATTTTTATTAATGAGTATGTCCGTTTGTATTGATGATGTATTCTATTTTCCTGTGTTCTCTCTTCATTTTCCTCCATCATTTTCTTCTGTTGTATGTGTGCTATTAAATATATGTATGTTTATGTATATATTTGTATGTGTATATGTATATGTAGTGTATATATATGTGATAATATCTATATAACAGTGCGCCACCTACCGTTTGCCTTTTTCTCAAAGTCCTCTACCCAAAGGTTGTCTGGAAGAGATCGCTTAGCGATAAGGCCGCCTTTTGTATCACTTCTCATTAATATTTACTGTATTTGTTATTTCTCTTTTTACTTGGTGCAATAAAGTGTAAATAAATAAAATATTCTTTGTATATTTATGTATGTTTACGAACAAATAGTAGTATGTTAGTTGTTTTAGTATTGTTTTAGTACATTAAATTTTATAACGTTGATTATTGTCACAAACTGCACTTATATACATATATCGATCTATCTGTATTGTACACCAACAGTAATCGATTTTTTTTTATTCAACTTAGAATGGCAAACAAGCTGACGGCCCACCTGATAGAAAGTGGTAACCGTCGCCTATAGACATGAGCAGTACCATGGACATAACAGAGTATACTGTTTCGTCCATGATATCTCCCATGCGTTGCCATTCCTGAGAACTCAGGTCCCTTCAAACCGAAACACAGCCATGCAAACAACTGCTTCACGGTAGAAACACAAATGGAACATATGTGGCCAAGCAATTGACTTTTGTACAAAGTCTCCCTCTGGTGTTGTTTATATTATAAACCTACTAATTAGCTACAAATAATAAACAAATCGATAAAATAATCAAATGTAAATAATAATTAAATTAGAGTCTGCTAACAAAGACAATAGTCAGTAGGGTTGCCAAAAGATTTTTTTTTTCTTCTAAATTTTAGGAAATCTTTTTCAGAGCGGCAACACTTACATTTACAGTGATTTAGAGCAATAAAATGCTTTTTCGAGGAACCACGTGTATTTTTCAAAACTGACTAAAGTCACACTTAGTTTGAACGCTCTTATTTGCTTTAACATTTTATAAAAAAAATAATAATAACCTTCGTTGACTGAATACACTTAAACTTACTTCATTACTATAGGATATATATTATATATTTTTTTCTTTTTTTATTTATACAACCTTCATCTCGGTCAATTAACACGTCCCGGACACCCAGACGAAACCACGGCTATGAACTAGTGCTGTGAATAAATCTAAACTCGAATAGGGGTCAGTAGAGTCGCTTCCATCCTCATTCGATTCTAATGTCCCCGGAAAAATATGGATAAGCCGGGACTCGGATGTTACGTGCCAGTATTAACAATGTCGACAAAATGCCATTTTTCGTTCTATTTTTTTTTATTTACTAATTTCTAGAACTTTCTCAAATATTATACAAGAATTTTTTTTTGTGTATATATTTATATTTTCGTTATAATATTAATTTCATGATTATTTTTAATGATCTCAAAATAAAAACCGGTACCGTTTTTAAAAACTCCCAAATTATTACGTCATTAATTTTCCCAGCTTATGTATTATACGTATATGTATACTGGCTATTTCCTGCGGCTTTGCCCGCGTGAATCAGTACATAAAAAGTATCTTATACGCTTAGTTAGGATATAAGCTATCCGTATACCAAATTTAATTCGAAATCCGTTCAGTAGTTTTTGCGTGAAAAAGTAACAAACATACATTCGTCCATCCGTACAAACTTTTGCATTTATAATGTTAACAGAGGGAGACTTTGTACAAAAGTCCTTTGCTTGGGTACCTCTGTCCCATTCGTGTTTTAACCGTATAGCAGTTGTGTTTGCATGGCTGTGTTTCGGTTTGATATGGCGTGAATTTACAGGGTACAGAGGAATAACACCTGAGTCCTCAGGAATGACAACGCATGGGGGGTATCATGGGCGTAACAGTAGTATACTCTGTTAAGTCCATGGTACTGCTCATGTTTATAGGCGACGGTTACCACTTTCCATCAGGTGGGCCGTCAGCTTGTTTGCCATTCTAAGTCGTATAAAAAAAAATAACAATACAAATTTACTGTGTGGTAATGTGTGGTTCCGGCATAGAATAAGTCACCTTTTCCTTACCCATTGGCGTCATAAGAAGTGACTAAGGGAGGGCGAGCGATGGGCAGCAGCGTCCCTCTTAAAACATATTCAAAGCCTAACTGCGGCTCCCAATCCGCCTACCAAGAGCGAGGATTACTGGCAAAACCCCCCTGTGGCTGATATGATGATGATGATTAAAATATATCATTTCGTCATAGCCGTAGAATACTGACGGATCTATATATGTAATATTTGTCAGATCCGTCAGTATTCTACGACTGTGACGATTTGTCTCCCCATACATTGTACTTGTACATAATACAAACTGCTTAGTTTAAAACCAGATGGCGTTGAATAATATATCTAATTAATATTTATTGTATTTATATACTTACTAGTTTTTCACCCGCGACTGCGTTTGTTGTCAAATTGGTCGAGCCTTCAAGAGCCTAACAAACTCACTTTTACTAGTTTTAGTGGCCCTTATTTCGTACACATGGTCTCAGAAGTAGAGAATCCTATTATATACCCAACTTACTGATGGTATACCGTGATAAAAGAAAAAAAAACACCAGTTTATAAGTTAGACGTTTAGGGATGCCAGACGATCCAATTTCGTGCAGTTGTTTTTGCATGATGCCGGATCACAGAGGGACACACACTTTGTACAAAAGTCGATTGCTTGGGTACCTCTGCCCCATTCGTGTTTCTGCCGTGAAGCAGTTGTGTTTGCATGGCTGTGTTTCGGTTTGAAGGGTGGGATATAGCGTGAATTTACAGGATACAGAGGAATAACATCTGAGTCCTCAGTAATGGCAACGCATGGGGGGTATCATGGACGCAACAGTATACTCTATTATGTCCATGGTACTGCTCATGTCTATAGGCGACGGTTACCACTTTCCATCAGGTGGGTCGTCAGCTTGTTTGCCATTCTAAGTTGTATATAAAAAAAATAAAAAAAAAAATATTGTTAATAATTATTAAAAACTCTCCCAACCTTTTTTTTATATCTTCTATATACAGATATCGTCAAGTTATATTTTTATTATATTAGTAAGATAGTAAGGATTAAAACATTTCTTATAATCTTCCAGAAAGCCGAGATACTCGCAAGACAAACACGAGTCGTATTCAGAAATTTCAAACTCGCCGCAGCATCCACCTCCGGAGGATATTCCTAAGATGAGAACAGACGTAATAGACAAGCCGCTAGACCTTAAAACCAAACCGGATGTTCCGGAGAAGCCTGACACGCTCGACAAATGTAGCCAAGCTACCTTAGACAACCAAGAGAAACCACTGGAGTTGAGAAATCAGTCGCTAGAAATAAAAATTGACCCCATTTCAATCCTGCCACATGATCATTTCAATGATGACAGACTGTTTATGAATTCACTGTTGCCACTTTTTAAAAAAATGGACGACGACACAAGATTATTGTGCAGAATTGAGGTGTTAAAAATAATTAGATACGCGTTGCAAGGTCACAAATGTTTCGAAGCGCTCAAAATGGCGGAAGATAATTTTTTTAGAAACGAAATAAGCGGAATCCTGCTTAAAGAGAATGGCGTTGAAAGTTCTTTGAGCAGTTCCAAGTCTAGCGAATCTAGGCTCTCGATGGTTACTAGGTCGGCCGATGGCACGAGAACTACGAGGAAACGAAAAGTACGTTGTGTAAACCTTTTTTATTTTTATTTTTAAGAGTTTAAATATACCTATTTATCTTCACGCCAAGTTCCTTGCGGTGTATACAGAGAGAGCTAAGTTCCAAAAACTTATATAGTACATTTGTTCTTGCTTCCTGCACTTTCATTACTTGTCTTAAGCATGCACGCTAGTTCCGGGGACTCTTGACTCCACTTTCAGATAGAACGCAGTCTTTAATAGGTTTTTTTTAATGGATGATAATGGAATGGTAACCCCGCCTGCGCTATCGGTATACGATGGCGGAGCACCAGTAAGAGATGATAGGTGAGGATGAAGCTAGTCGATTAGTTTATCGTGATGAGTTTAACAATAAATTAGTCAAGATCACGAGAAAAGAGTCACGTAGAGGTCGACCTGACAGGGTATATTGCTAGCAATGGAACTTGTAGTCCGCATTACTAACAATCCCTTTCCCCCCAGACTAAGATGGTATGTCTGCGAATCCTGTGTAATTTCATTTCTCTCTTTTTAGGATCACTCGCCAACACCTACTCCAGTACCAGCCAAAAAGAGAGGACCAGGTCGCCCGCGAAAGGTACAAAATAAAAATGTCTCTAAATAGTTTAAAACAGTCGCTGACCGCGTCTCTCTGTTTGTTCGCTTGCGTCTTCCAAACCATGCAACAGATTTTGACACGGATTTCATCGTCATTTTGATTATTTTTTTTATAAATTTTATGTACATTACATACATACATACATACATACATATCTGTCACGCCTCATGTACATTACATCCTAGTTAATATCTTTAAATAGTTTGCGGTGTGGTCTCAGCACAGAATGGGCCACCACTTCCTTCTTTTTTCCCCGTGGATGTCGTAAGAGGCGATTAAGGGAACTTAATGGATATTCTAAATCTAACTTTGTTTGCTAACCTGCCTGCCAAGCGTGGCAACTACTGGCAAAGCCCTCCTTTTGGGGCAGATCTATGTTCAACAGTGGACAGTTAACGGCTGATAAAATGGTGATGATGATAAGTAGCTAGTGATCTATGTCCAGCAGTGGACAGACAACAGGTATAAAGCTGATGAGTAGCTAAATATGCACGGGTGGTCGAACCGTCATTTTTTTTTTTGTTTTTGGGACACAACCATCAATAAAACAATCTCGCTCGCTCTCCTATTAAGTTGTATAACACTATTCATCATTATTTATGTTGCCACCAGATCCGCCTCCCTCAGTCTGATTCTGATGAAGATCAGCTATTAAGGAAACGGTGCCCGAAGCTGAAGGTGGCGCCTGTGGAGCCACGCCTCTCCGAGATGGACGAGACGCTCAACAGAGCGACCAGATTGTCCCAACTATCGACACCGCTTTTCATGAAGGTTCGTAAAGAACAGTGACATTTTTTTTTGGATCTAGGGACCAATAGTCCAGAGGGAGACTTTGTACAAAAGTCGATTGCTTGGGTACCTCTGTCCTATTCGTGTTTCAACCGTGAAGCAGTTGTGTTTGCATGGCTGTGTTTCGGTTTGAAGGGTGCGATATGGCGTGAATTTACAGGGTACAGAGGAATAATACCTGAGTCCTCAAGAATGGCAACGCATGGGGGGGTATCATGGGCGAAATAGTATACTATGTTATGTGCATGGTACTGCTCATGTCTATAGGCGACGGTTACCACTTTCCATCAGGTGGGCCGTCAGCTTGTTTGCCATTCTAAGTTGTATATAAAAAAAAAAATAGTCGTGCGAGCCCTAATTGTGACGAGAATGGGGTACATCGTACTCGGGTCTACGTGTTGTCATTATTTAGGACTGGGTTTGAGTATTTTTTAAACGGTATGTATTATGTAATTTTCGCATCAAATTTGTGTTTCGTTCGACCCCGAAATTTCGAAAAACATTTCATGGTAGGCCCTATAATAGTGTATACTGCCAACAGTTCTCAACGGATCTCATTACTAATAATCCCCTCCCCCCATTCTAATTATGGGTACTAAATAGCTGATGACAACTATACTTAAAGAACATTAAAAGCAATTCGTTATATATGATATTTATATTCACAGATCTACAATTTGGAACGTTCGAAGAACGCGCCGGTATCACTAACTCCCCAGCATACACCGATGCTCAACAAAACGGAACCGGCGGATCCCGAGCCGCAACCAAGTTAAACCTTACCGCCATAATGATAAGAGCTAGTATAAGTTTACTCGTAAGTTTCCATTCTCTTATGTATTTGTTCTCATTTGTCTTTTTGGTGAACGATCTTAACATGTCTCTTTAAGGAAATGAACCATTCAAACTAACATTGTAATGATAAAAGATTTGTTTTGATTATAATGAATAAAATCAAAAAATACTTAACCGATTTTGAAAATACTGGCACCTATAAACAATTATATTATCGGCGAATACCATAGACTATCGCTTTATTCATAAAAAAAAAAAACGTCAAACTACTCATAAACCTATTTTAGATATTGTACTGTTTCTAAATTCTTAATTTAAATAAAAGTGACAACAGACTACAAAGAAGGGGTAAATAGATTCCTTCAGGGTTGGCAATATGCGCGTAATACCCCTGTTATTGCAGGCGTTCATAGGCTACGGTAACCGCTTACCATCAGGTGGGCTGCACGCTTGTTGCTACCTCAGTGGTTTAAAAAAAAAACAGTGTAATAGTTAAAATAGGTCTATAGATTTTAGTTTTTACAAATAAGTGGGTATATGTCCGATAGTATTACTATCTTCTTTCTATCCTATTTAAGAGCTGCGCTCTTATCGGTGGAGCTCTTGCCACTCACTACAATTTTCAGCGAGTCTCTTCACCTCTTGATACGACACGACACCAACTCCTTCCTTGATCTGCCTGATATAACTATGTCTCGGTCTCCCTCTTTCCCTCCTTTCTTCTATCTTACCTTCTATTATAATGTTCATAAGTTCGTCGTGCCGTATCAAGTGTCCCAACATTTTTCCCCTTCTGTCCTCAATACTTCTAATAATTTGCCCTAAGCAGGACCTCCTCCTTGCTAATTCGATCCCTCCAGCTAATTTTCTCCATCCTTCTCCAGCATCACATTTCAAAGGCTCTAAGTTTATCCATTTCCTTCCGAGTTAATGTCCACGTCTCACATCCATACAGAGCTATACTCCAGATATAGGTTTTGATAAGCCGCTTTCAAAAATCTTTTGTTATCTTAGCCTGTAAAAGGTGTTTTTTTGTTATTGAAGGCTTGTTTGACCATGGCTATTGTCTATTCCGATAGTATTATAAATAAAGAATTTATTAATCGTTTAATAAGAATCGAATCGAACAAGAATCGATTAGTGTTTCGATTTGTTACTAATTTTATTTAGAGAGGTGTGTTACTGTGATAATTTGTACAGAACTCTGTTGTCGTTTATATTGAAACTTACTTTATTCTTTGTTCCCTATATTCGTTTCTTATAGTAATAAATCGTTTATCATAAAAAAAAAATGTTATCATTCCAGTTTAATTATATACATATACATCGTCACTTTAAAAAGATATGCCAAGATTGTTTACTAAATATATTGAGTAAAAAAAAAAGAAATAATACTTACTAAGAGTGTTCATAACTGGTACAGAGATGAGCGGTTCGCTGAGTACCCTAAATTATGCTTTTGCGCAATAATGGCTGACTCACCCGTCATACTCGTGAACGGGTGCTACTTGTGGGAACCGATCCGTTTTATATTTGTTGTTTTTTCCATTTAATAATACATACAAATATAACTTTTCATTGGTTGATTTATATACGACTTATTCAATTATTAAAGTTTTAGTTTGGTAGCAGAGCATGTTTTAAATAATTGAAATTTTGAAAAATGTTTAGTTATTTTTGAAAATTGATAGTTAATTAGACATTGGTAGGCTGAAGTTATTGTTACTAATTGTATCAGCCTTCCCCATAAGGGGAGTTTTGCTAGTCGTAGTCACGTTTGGCAGGTGGGTTGCCAACCGCAGTTAGGGTTTTAAAATGTTTTAAGAGGGACACAGTTGCCCATCCCTCGACTATTGAATTCCCTTAGTCGCCTCCTACGACAGCTACGGGAAAAGGGGTGGTCCATTCTATGCCGGGACCACACCATGCTAAGTTAAAGTTGTGAACGCTCTTATTAATGTAGTCACAATGTGACAAATTGATTAATGTCCACATTGGTGTATGTCGGTGCCAACGTTGGCCCAATTTGTAATGCAAAAGTCTGTTGGATCATAATTCGTATTTTATAAATTTAAAAATAAAAAACAAATTTGTAGATGCTTTAAAGAAATGGTAACTCCATCTGCGTGGTTGAGGGACCATTTGATGATATGTGAGGACGAAGTTAGGTCAGTTAGCCCATAGTGAGTAATACGTCAGGAATTAATCGCAATGGTTTTCAGAAAGACCGCGTGAAAGTGGACCTTAGAAGGTATATTGAAAGAAATAGGAATTGTTAGTAATAGGAACTAACAGTTCCATTGCTAGCAATAGACACTATAAGGTCGACCTCCATGCAGTCTCCTCTGGAAACCATCTTGGTTAACACTTTGAGTGCCGACGAGCGCCATCGCGCTCGTGCGCATTGCAACTAAAAGTGCCACCGTCATAGCGCTCGTGGAATCAGTCGCTGTTTAGCTTGCTGTAAAAAAAAAATATATTAAAATTGGATAATTTTTGGAGGAGATACAGTTTTTTTTAGAGACAAGGGTAAATAACATCAACACGACAAAGATTTCTTTGGCATTTTTAAGTAGATATAAGTAAAAATCAATGGCACTAAAAGGGTTGATTCTTGTGGAATTCGCCACGGTGGGCTAACTGACCTGCGTTCATCCCTCCCTGGTATCCCGTTCGCCGCGCAGACGGGATTATCGTTTCATTGTTACCCATTCAAAAAAAAAACAATTATAATACAAAATAATAAAAAAGAATAAAAAATCTAATAAATATTAATAAAAAAAAAAATAAATAAAAATAAAACAGGGTAAATTGCTAGCATTAGCATGTATGACTAGCAAGGGACTTATCATTCCCAAAGCAATCCATCTACAAATATAAAGTTCCTCAACATTTCTTTTAAATGATCCACCATCTTAAGTACCTCTAGTATATAATATTAGTGTTAAGGAAATTGTGATATAAACGCTTAGATTTAGTAATTTAAAATGTAAAAAATTGTTAATATGTAAGTAAATGCCATTTTTATATCCGCTGTAAGTTAAAGTCGTTCGCGTATAAGCAAAAAGGGTTTAAGTTTTTCAAACTCAAGTCTTGATAGAGAGAGACGAAAGATTATTGGCATTTATTTATTTTACAATGTGTTATAGTTAAGTCTTTTTTATTGGATGAAAATGTTATGGTTAGACCGTCTGTGATATTTGTATACTCTGTACTCAGCCAGCGTGGGGCACCAGTCGAAGGTGATAGATGAGGATGAAAGCGATGAAGGATTAATTCATGTCAATTGGCCTTGATGAATTCACCAAGAGTTATGGTGGTTTCCAGTAGAAACGCGTGGGTGTTAGATTAGTTTAAAGTAATAAGGATTTTTATGGTTGGGGAAGTTAAACCCCATTATAGACACTCCTCTTTCCCATAATAGGGCTACAAACCAAAATCCAATTATATGTTAAAAATAATTTATCTATTTCCAACCAACTTCAATAAAAGAGAAGCCTCTCTATTCGGCTTATTACCTCCGTCATTTATAAACTATATTTGTTTTCTTTTTTAATCTGAAATTTTGTCAAAAACGGTTAAGTAGTTTAGTTTTTAAATGAAAATAAATGTATGTGCCACGATTGAAGTTGGTATTTCATGAAAGAGATTCTTAAATTATTTAATTCGTTAAGGACATCCTAATTTTACTAAGTACGCTAGTAAGTAAAATTTTTTTAAACCTTTCTGTTACACCCTGTATATGCATTGGATGTGTGTGTTGTCTAACCATATTGGTGCACCCTGTTACAATGTATTGATATTTCTTTTATAATTTTATTTCTCATTAAAAAAAATATAAATGCGTTAACTGGTATAAATAATTGCTGTTTGTAAAATCGTTAATATTTGTAAAATTGTTCATTATTTCGTTAACTGTCCACTACTGGACATGAGACTTCCTATAGAGGGAGTTTTGCCTGTAGTTGCCACCTTTGACAGGCAAAAGCATTTAGTTTTTAGAGACGTTTTAATAGGGACGCTTCTGCCGTACCTTCGATCATTGTTTCCTGACTCGTCTCTTACGACACCCATGGGAAAGGAAAGGGTGGCCTATTCTATGCCGGGACCACACGGCCATTGAAAATTGAAGCATGAAAAATGCCATGTACTGAAATTATTGGTAAAATATAATGTCATTATTAATAAGTTTTTTAAATGGTTTTTCAATGGCGATATTGATTTTTAAATTTTTTTTTTTAAATATTTGAATTCCAAGGAAACGAAAGTATGATAATCGTTTGTAATAATTTTAACTTTTTAATTTCTGACAATTGAATTATATTAATAAAACAATAATTTATATTTAATGTTTTTTATTTTATTAAGAATTCCTTTACATGAAAATTATGAAAGTAGGTAGCCATTTCATTTAAGAAGACATGGCATATTCTACGCCGGGACCACACGGCGTAGGTAAACTAATGCTACTACTAAATTTGTATGAAAATTGAGTTAATTTGAATGTAATATGTCGTCCTGCGGCACAGTAATGGATACCTCGTTGAACTTTACCTCCAAACCCTCCCGCTGAGGGCTACAACACATCAAACCGACGAAATAACTCTTCGCTTCAGGAAACTGACACAATCTCAGTAGAGTCCAACTAATATTGTCTATGGAATACTTGACGCAAACAACGTCACGTTTTTTAGTGAGGCGCATCCAGAATTTGCGCGGGTCACCATTGTACACACCTGTAAATATTTTTTTTTTAATTTTTAATTAATTCGGTCGCAGTAAATCAGAATAATAAATATTTAATATGGCAATGTAGTAAATGCTCAACCTGTGTACCATTTCAACCAAATACGTTCAAGTGTTTACTGGCCTGCATAAAGGAGATATAGCGAAGTACATTTTTTGCAAACGAAATTGACTTGATGTAGTGATTGATTTATATTATTGATTATAATATTATCTCTAATAGTTGTAGCATACAAATTGAAGTTTTTTTTTTAATTTTTAAAATATTTGATTCTTCCTGTGTGCATGGCGACTCGAACCACGGACCTCCTTAAGCCGGATCCCATTTTTTATATCACTTAGGTGTCAAACAAGAATACGGCCCACCTGATAAATGTGAGTAATCCGAATAATATAAATAAAATAAAATAAAATTAGGAATCGATGGAAGCAGGTGAAGAAAAATAGTAGATGATGAGTTCAGAAAATTTATAATAAGACAATTCCATTGTTTAAGAAAGAACATCAAGAAAAATATTCTAATTATTTGTCATTGACAGAAAAATAAAATAACAAATATAAAGAGGTTTCACAACAAAATGGTTACCTTAGCCTGCAATACCAAGGGTGTTACGCGCGCGTTGCCGACCCTGAAGGAACTATTTATTGAAGAACCCTATGCTCTAGTTTCTTGGAAAAATCTCCACAAAGAGCTCATTCCAAACGAGAGGAAACATCTCTGAAACCGCGATGTACGCGGCCATCTAAGCTCTAAGGTATGGAGGTGAACTCTGTGCTTATGGCGAACTGTACGATGGTAAAGGGTGGCCGTGTGGCATCATGTTAAATAATTCCTCAAAGCACATTCCGTTGTACAAGCGGTAGAACACGCACTGTCCCTTTGGCATTTAGCCTGTTTACCCACTCTATTGTTATACCACTACTTAAAAGCATAGAAAAAGGGGCAAATTTCCATTGTTTGTGCAGACCTTAAACGAAACTAAGTAACAAGACTAAGAATAATTTAGTAACAGAAGATAAAGGTACAGTTGCAAAATCTTACCAGTGGCCCAATCTGAATTTTCATTAGTGTACACACTGCCTATCATGGGCTGTCCATCATTGTACTCTATGCCCGTTTTCAGCCAGTGTTTCTCATCCAAATAAATCATAAGACCAGCTTGGTCGTACAATGTTGTAAAATCCGCCTCGATGCAAGCCTGCCATTGTTAGAAATTTATTTATTATACAAAAATATAAATATTTTTTAATGGTTGACAATTGAACGGTAATTCCACCTGCACTATCGGTATACACTGCGGGGTGCCAGTGAGAGGTGATAGGTGAGGATGTATGGGCGGGTCAGTTAGTCCATCGTGATGAATACCCTGGAATTCAGCATGATGGTTTCCAGGTAGGACCATGTAAAAGTCGACCTAACAGGGTACATTGCTAGCAATGGGTTTGGTAGGCCACATTACTAATATTTTTTTTAATGAGTGAAAATGAAATGTTAACCCCACCTGTGTTAACGGTAAACGCTGGCGGGACATCAGTGAATGATGGTAAGTGATGATGAAAGTAGTCAATTGGCCTATCCTGAAATATTGTACAGAAGTCCTCCACATGGATACCTCTGTCCCATCCATGTTTTTGCTGTAAAATAGCTGCCCTTTTTTATGGCAAAGGGCTGCTCATACATGGCTTGAGTTTGAAGGGTGGAATTACAGAATACAGAGGCATCACATAAAAGCGTCCCCAAGAATAGCAGCGCATGAAAGGTATCATAAGTATCACTTTAGACTTACAACTTAGAATAGCAAACAAGCTGACGGCCCACCTAAAGGATGGAAGTGGTAACCGTCGCCTATAGACATGAGCAGTACCATGGACATAACAGAGTATACTGTTTCGCCCATGATAACTCCCATGCGTTGCCATTCCTGAGGACTCTGGTATTATTTCTCTGTATCCTGTACCTGTACATATCCCACCCTTCAAACCGAAATACAGCTATGCAAACACAACTGCTTCACGGTAGAAACACGAATGAGATAGAGGTACCCAAGCAATCGACTTTTGTACAAAGTCTGCCTCTGGTAAACTTGCCCATATACATCCTATAGCATGCACAAATCTTTATGAATTTATTAGTAGTGAGATGTAAATAAAAATAATTGCTTCATATAAATTAGTGGATAAACAATTATCAGGAATATTAGAAAGCCTATGTTAATTTATGTATGCATGTATATATGTATATATGGTAACACGAATCCTGTTTCCTACAGGACAGACTCAGTTTAGTGTAGGAATCAATGATAATTTCGGTTGATAAGTTGATAAAATGATAAGTTCGGAAAAATTGTTGTGTCAAAATAAAAATGGTAAAAAACACACACACGTGTGTGTGTGTGTGTGTGTGTGTGTGTGTGTGTGTGTGTGTGTGTGTGTGTGTGTGTGTGTGTGTGTGTGTGTGTGTGTGTGTGTGTGTGTGTGTGTGTGTGTGTGTGTGTGTGTGTGTGTGTGTGTGTGTGTGTGTGTGTGTGTGTGTGTGTGTGTGTGTGTGTGTGTGTGTGTGTGTGTGTGTGTGTGTGTGTGTGTGTGTGTGTGTGTGTGTGTGTGTGTGTGTGTGTGTGTGTGTGTGTGTGTGTGTGTGTGTGTGTGTGTGTGTGTGTGTGTGTGTGTGTGTGTGTGTGTGTGTGTGTGTGTGTGTGTGTGTGTGTGTGTGTGTGTGTGTGTGTGTGTGTGTGTGTGTGTGTGTGTGTGTGTGTGTGTGTGTGTGTGTGTGTGTGTGTGTGTGTGTGTGTGTGTGTGTGTGTGTGTGTGTGTGTGTGTGTGTGTGTGTGTGTGTGTGTGTGTGTGTGTGTGTGTGTGTGTGTGTGTGTGTGTGTGTGTGTGTGTGTGTGTGTGTGTGTGTGTGTGTGTGTGTGTGTGTGTGTGTGTGTGTGTGTGTGTGTGTGTGTGTGTGTGTGTGTGTGTGTGTGTGTGTGTGTGTGTGTGTGTGTGTGTGTGTGTGTGTGTGTGTGTGTGTGTGTGTGTGTGTGTGTGTGTGTGTGTGTGTGTGTGTGTGTGTGTGTGTGTGTGTGTGTGTGTGTGTGTGTGTGTGTGTGTGTGTGTGTGTGTGTGTGTGTGTGTGTGTGTGTGTGTGTGTGTGTGTGTGTGTGTGTGTGTGTGTGTGTGTGTGTGTGTGTGTGTGTGTGTGTGTGTGTGTGTGTGTGTGTGTGTGTGTGTGTGTGTGTGTGTGTGTGTGTGTGTGTGTGTGTGTGTGTGTGTGTGTGTGTGTGTGTGTGTGTGTGTGTGTGTGTGTGTGTGTGTGTGTGTGTGTGTGTGTGTGTGTGTGTGTGTGTGTGTGTGTGTGTGTGTGTGTGTGTGTGTGTGTGTGTGTGTGTGTGTGTGTGTGTGTGTGTGTGTGTGTGTGTGTGTGTGTGTGTGTGTGTGTGTGTGTGTGTGTGTGTGTGTGTGTGTGTGTGTGTGTGTGTGTGTGTGTGTGTGTGTGTGTGTGTGTGTGTGTGTGTGTGTGTGTGTGTGTGTGTGTGTGTGTGTGTGTGTGTGTGTGTGTGTGTGTGTGTGTGTGTGTGTGTGTGTGTGTGTGTGTGTGTGTGTGTGTGTGTGTGTGTGTGTGTGTGTGTGTGTGTGTGTGTGTGTGTGTGTGTGTGTGTGTGTGTGTGTGTGTGTGTGTGTGTGTGTGTGTGTGTGTGTGTGTGTGTGTGTGTGTGTGTGTGTGTGTGTGTGTGTGTGTGTGTGTGTGTGTGTGTGTGTGTGTGTGTGTGTGTGTGTGTGTGTGTGTGTGTGTGTGTGTGTGTGTGTGTGTGTGTGTGTGTGTGTGTGTGTGTGTGTGTGTGTGTGTGTGTGTGTGTGTGTGTGTGTGTGTGTGTGTGTGTGTGTGTGTGTGTGTGTGTGTGTGTGTGTGTGTGTGTGTGTGTGTGTGTGTGTGTGTGTGTGTGTGTGTGTGTGTGTGTGTGTGTGTGTGTGTGTGTGTGTGTGTGTGTGTGTGTGTGTGTGTGTGTGTGTGTGTGTGTGTGTGTGTGTGTGTGTGTGTGTGTGTGTGTGTGTGTGTGTGTGTGTGTGTGTGTGTGTGTGTGTGTGTGTGTGTGTGTGTGTGTGTGTGTGTGTGTGTGTGTGTGTGTGTGTGTGTGTGTGTGTGTGTGTGTGTGTGTGTGTGTGTGTGTGTGTGTGTGTGTGTGTGTGTGTGTGTGTGTGTGTGTGTGTGTGTGTGTGTGTGTGTGTGTGTGTGTGTGTGTGTGTGTGTGTGTGTGTGTGTGTGTGTGTGTGTGTGTGTGTGTGTGTGTGTGTGTGTGTGTGTGTGTGTGTGTGTGTGTGTGTGTGTGTGTGTGTGTGTGTGTGTGTGTGTGTGTGTGTGTGTGTGTGTGTGTGTGTGTGTGTGTGTGTGTGTGTGTGTGTGTGTGTGTGTGTGTGTGTGTGTGTGTGTGTGTGTGTGTGTGTGTGTGTGTGTGTGTGTGTGTGTGTGTGTGTGTGTGTGTGTGTGTGTGTGTGTGTGTGTGTGTGTGTGTGTGTGTGTGTGTGTGTGTGTGTGTGTGTGTGTGTGTGTGTGTGTGTGTGTGTGTGTGTGTGTGTGTGTGTGTGTGTGTGTGTGTGTGTGTGTGTGTGTGTGTGTGTGTGTGTGTGTGTGTGTGTGTGTGTGTGTGTGTGTGTGTGTGTGTGTGTGTGTGTGTGTGTGTGTGTGTGTGTGTGTGTGTGTGTGTGTGTGTGTGTGTGTGTGTGTGTGTGTGTGTGTGTGTGTGTGTGTGTGTGTGTGTGTGTGTGTGTGTGTGTGTGTGTGTGTGTGTGTGTGTGTGTGTGTGTGTGTGTGTGTGTGTGTGTGTGTGTGTGTGTGTGTGTGTGTGTGTGTGTGTGTGTGTGTGTGTGTGTGTGTGTGTGTGTGTGTGTGTGTGTGTGTGTGTGTGTGTGTGTGTGTGTGTGTGTGTGTGTGTGTGTGTGTGTGTGTGTGTGTGTGTGTGTGTGTGTGTGTGTGTGTGTGTGTGTGTGTGTGTGTGTGTGTGTGTGTGTGTGTGTGTGTGTGTGTGTGTGTGTGTGTGTGTGTGTGTGTGTGTGTGTGTGTGTGTGTGTGTGTGTGTGTGTGTGTGTGTGTGTGTGTGTGTGTGTGTGTGTGTGTGTGTGTGTGTGTGTGTGTGTGTGTGTGTGTGTGTGTGTGTGTGTGTGTGTGTGTGTGTGTGTGTGTGTGTGTGTGTGTGTGTGTGTGTGTGTGTGTGTGTGTGTGTGTGTGTGTGTGTGTGTGTGTGTGTGTGTGTGTGTGTGTGTGTGTGTGTGTGTGTGTGTGTGTGTGTGTGTGTGTGTGTGTGTGTGTGTGTGTGTGTGTGTGTGTGTGTGTGTGTGTGTGTGTGTGTGTGTGTGTGTGTGTGTGTGTGTGTGTGTGTGTGTGTGTGTGTGTGTGTGTGTGTGTGTGTGTGTGTGTGTGTGTGTGTGTGTGTGTGTGTGTGTGTGTGTGTGTGTGTGTGTGTGTGTGTGTGTGTGTGTGTGTGTGTGTGTGTGTGTGTGTGTGTGTGTGTGTGTGTGTGTGTGTGTGTGTGTGTGTGTGTGTGTGTGTGTGTGTGTGTGTGTGTGTGTGTGTGTGTGTGTGTGTGTGTGTGTGTGTGTGTGTGTGTGTGTGTGTGTGTGTGTGTGTGTGTGTGTGTGTGTGTGTGTGTGTGTGTGTGTGTGTGTGTGTGTGTGTGTGTGTGTGTGTGTGTGTGTGTGTGTGTGTGTGTGTGTGTGTGTGTGTGTGTGTGTGTGTGTGTGTGTGTGTGTGTGTGTGTGTGTGTGTGTGTGTGTGTGTGTGTGTGTGTGTGTGTGTGTGTGTGTGTGTGTGTGTGTGTGTGTGTGTGTGTGTGTGTGTGTGTGTGTGTGTGTGTGTGTGTGTGTGTGTGTGTGTGTGTGTGTGTGTGTGTGTGTGTGTGTGTGTGTGTGTGTGTGTGTGTGTGTGTGTGTGTGTGTGTGTGTGTGTGTGTGTGTGTGTGTGTGTGTGTGTGTGTGTGTGTGTGTGTGTGTGTGTGTGTGTGTGTGTGTGTGTGTGTGTGTGTGTGTGTGTGTGTGTGTGTGTGTGTGTGTGTGTGTGTGTGTGTGTGTGTGTGTGTGTGTGTGTGTGTGTGTGTGTGTGTGTGTGTGTGTGTGTGTGTGTGTGTGTGTGTGTGTGTGTGTGTGTGTGTGTGTGTGTGTGTGTGTGTGTGTGTGTGTGTGTGTGTGTGTGTGTGTGTGTGTGTGTGTGTGTGTGTGTGTGTGTGTGTGTGTGTGTGTGTGTGTGTGTGTGTGTGTGTGTGTGTGTGTGTGTGTGTGTGTGTGTGTGTGTGTGTGTGTGTGTGTGTGTGTGTGTGGTGTGTGTGTATTTAGTTTTGGCAATATATATATTAGTTTTTTTTCAATATATCAAGTCTCACATCCGAAATATAAGTACGGCAACTCACACTAATGCTAAAGTTATAATGAATTAAGAGACCGCCTAAAAATTAGCAACTGCTGAGGCAGCTCCGATTACCAGCAAAATGTACTGACGTTTTATTTTATTGCTTTTTCTTTTAATTGTAATTTATTTTTGTTGTTGGTAATAAAGAGGTCTAGATAGATTCTTTGTCAGGCAAGTATTACAAGGGGGGGGGGGTGCATTAGTAATGGGGATAGACAACCTCTTACGATTCTCTTTTTATATAGGCTACTGTATTTAAATTATAATTTTTTTTAATTATTGTAATTTATTAGTATTGTAGTTGGTTGCTAGGTATGACAAAATGTTTTCGTTGATGTAATTAGCTACCATACGTTTTAAATGTCTGCTTTGGAATCCTGCAATGAGGAGGAGGGCGTTGATATTCGCGACACAGTTTTGTACTTCTGCGGATATCATCGTTTTTCAATAATATTGTAACCAATGTTTTTGTTCCAAATAAAGAATTATTATTATTATTATTATTAAACCATTCTACCTCGCCAGCGTATTCTGTGAGCGCGTGGCGGCCATTACTATTCCATTCAATTCAAACAATGTTCCCTAGCACGGTGACCACGCGATCCCCCCTGGAGACCATCTTGGTTAATTTAAGTAAATTTATCACGATGACCCATTCATCTGAATTCAACATGATGACTTCATCCTTCACTAGTGCCTCGTCACTGTACACCTAACTTTAGCAAAGGCGAGTACACCATTCCATATTCATCTATTAATAAAAATCCTTTATAACCCATTAAAAAAACCTTAATTTAAATTAAAATTATTAGAAATATATTTTTATATTATTAAAAATTTATCTTTATAAGTATAATTTAGCTGTTAACTGTCCACTGTTGAACATAAGCCTTCCGCATAGCAGGAGTTCCCAGTAGTTGTCACGCTTGGCAGGCGAGTTGACGACCGCAGTTAGGCTTTTAGAGGTGTTTTAAAAGGGACGCTGATGCCCATCCCATTCCCTTAGTCACCTCTTACAATACCCAAAGAAAAGAAAGTGGTGGCCTATTCTATGCCGGGACCATACGGCCAGTCTTTATAAGTATACCATGGATTAAAGCGTAATGAAAATATTCTCATTCTATTTAGTAAACTCACCACAAAATTGAAGTCATCTCTTAAATCAACACCATATAGATGGCCAGTATTAAAGTGAAAATTATACCAGGTTCCTTGCCAAAAATCTGTGTTATTTTTCGTTTTTACGCGTAAACCATCCGATTCTACTGTCCATGTGGCCGGTTCGTTTAACCATTTAAAATCTTTCACGAGATTTACTTTATCAAATTGATACGCCTCCATGTTGAATATGAATCAGTGAATGAATAAAGTAAACAAAATATGCAATACTTCGTATAAAAAATAGATATTCTGTGAATTAAACTGAATTATATACAAAAGTACTCTGTACAAAGATTAATTGATCAATCAATTGTCAATATTAGGTATCATGTCCTTGCGCGGGCGCATGATAAAAATAATATCGGTTTTATCTAAAAACTAACTATTGCTCGCAACTTCGTACTTGTAAATATTGGACAAAAATAATCACCTTTAGATAGTGTATCAAAATAAAACCTATAAGTTATACCTTTACACCAGATTTTAAGTTAAACCTTTATGAATATAACTGTGGACATTTCATTCAATTTGGTGCAGTAATTTTTGAGTGATATCTTGTTATAGTGTAAATACTTCTTGGTAGTTAGTTTTTTTTTTTGTACCTATCTATTACTGAATTGATAACTTAATAAAATTGTCTTGCAGTATCGATACACACTGACGGGGCACCAGTGAGAGATGATAGATGAGGATGAACTAATCAAGACGGCTTCCAGGTAGAATGGCATGGGAGTCGACCTGATAGAGTTTTATGTTAACGACAAGTATAAATAGACGCTTACTGATACAATTTAATATACTATAGCGTTTAAAATATGATCATTAGGGCAAACTAACCCTAAAGCAGTTTCAACCGTAAAGCAATTGTGTTTGCATGGCTGTGTTTCGGTTTAAAGGGTGGGATATGGCGCGAATTTACTGGGTACAGAGGAATAACACCTGAGTCCTCAGGAATGGCAACGCATGGGGAGTATTATGGACGAAACATTATACTTTGTTATGTCTATGGTACTGCTTATGTCTATAGGCGACGGTTACCACATTCCATCAGGTGGGCCGTCAGCTTGTTTGTCATTCTAAGTTGTATAAAAAAAAAACAGTCTGACGCTCTCACTATTATCTATATTCCTTAAAGTCACAATAAATTAAAAAAAATATCTAAATTCCCACTTTATGGTCCTTTCGGGATACCAACGTAGAAATTCTTCGCGTTTAGCCAACAAGCCATTCTCGCCTATCGTCCTTCACTAATGATTCAATGAAAATAATTCTGTATTAATTATATCTATTAATTGACTATAATATCTGCAAATATTTTGTAATACCCGACAGTTTCATAAAATTTATTTTTAATTATTATTTAAAAATACATGTAACAGTGCCGTTTAAAAGTGATTAAGAAGCAAAAACAATTATACTGTCTCTGTAAAGTGATTTAAAAATTTAAATTATAGTCTCCCTAGACAAATTAACTACGAATCTATTGATAGAATTGTTTCGATCAGTGCTGAAAGAACAAGACACTACATATCGCTATCTCATTCTATCTCATTTTATTTATTCATTTTAGAATTATGTAGTTTTATTTATGCATTTTAGAATGGCAGTCAAGCTGACCCATTTGATGGAAAGTGGTAAACGTCGTATATAAACATGAAATACAATATTTTTTTTTGTTTATTTAATTATCATACATAAATACATTAAAAAAATTGGATTTTTAGTACCACTTAAACCTCTTGGGCTTGTGTGTGATGCTTTACACTCGGTTCTCCAATGTCCCTATTTACATTAATATTCTGCTGTTTTACCAAGGTTGGACAGTAAATAAGCTTTCAGTTTAAATTTTATGTTTTTGACAGTGATATTGTTTCGTAAGTCGGTAGGTAGAGAATTTATTAATCGCGGTATAAGGTAGGCGCTCGTTCGCTCGCCATAGTAATTTTTTGCTCGAGTAGTGACTAGCTTGTTTTGCGCGGCGGTGCGAGTATATATAGCATGATTTATTTTTGTTTGAATTTCCTGTTTAAAGAAATGTACTTTTAAGAGGCAATATTTTACTTTATCATGAATAGGCAGCGTTCGACAATACTCAAATAATTCGGAGTCACTTGTGAGATTTGATATGATTTTAGGTGGGATAATTAATTTTAATATTCTAAGTTGCAATCTATAAATAGTACTAGTACGTCCCTAATAGCTCACATGTTAAAAGGATTGTTAGTAATGGGGTCAAATAGGCCCATTACTAGCAATATATCCTATCAGGTCGACCTCCACGTGGTTCTCCCTGGAAACCATCGTGATTGATTCATTAGTGAATTTGTCACGATGAGCTAACTGACCTGTTTTCATCTTCACCTATTATCTTTCACTGGTGCCTCGCCAGTGTATACCGATAGTGCAGGCGGGGTTACCATACAATTATCACCCATTTTAAAAATAGCCCCCATGCATTTCCATCCATGAGGACTAAGGTCTTATACCTGTGCACTCTGTAAATTCACTGTCATATGCCATATTCTCTGTAACATTGTACGAAATAAAATATTTAAATATAAAATAATATTATTAGTCTCCCGCAAAACTCAGAGAGAGAGAGAGAGAGAGAGAAAGTGGGCGGCACAGACAAGAAAGGCCAGTTTTTAATACAGATAAAATATTATATAATACATAGATTACTTATTACATCCTAATAAAATCAAACACTGTGACTGATATTTAACAATCTAATAAATTTTTAAATAATTATGTTTTTCTTTATTACATTTTTTTTTATTCGTTTTAATGGCCCGAAAATTTGAAATGTAGTAGGCAATACTGACCATCGCCAAGCGTCTATAGATTCATTCATTTATAAAAATGGTGTCATTTCCGTTAGTAACACTGCGGCGGCATGGCTCCGCGCGGCTTATGAAGAAATTAAAATTTATTTTTGTATTTAGGTAGTGAACAGTTGATATAATTGATTTATAATCTCTCTTGAGTAGTTTTTAATATCAATATGGGTAAACCTGGTGAGTATATCTTATACTTCAATAAATATAGTTATAAATCTCCCACATGTCACCTCGTGGTCTCAACTTAATTTTTAAATTGTTTCCTCATTTATATTAAGATCTAATTAAATATCTGTGTAAAAGTAACTATGAATCGTAATAGCAATTTTAAAACTCTTTTTAACTAGTTTTTCTTCGCGTCGTATGTTTGCAGGTTATAGGCTTGTAATCATAAATCTCAAATCTTTATTTATTTTGTGTAAAAACTATTTAATTCTAATAAAATACTATATTAGATCCTGTCGAACTTATAAAAATACCATAATGATTATTGATAAGAAATTTAAAATGGTAATTCAGTTAACGGCCGGCACAATTCACGAGATCTGTTATAGATTTGACTGAATTGTTTGGTTAATAATTAATATCCTCACTTTTTCTTGTGTATTTTTTCATTTTAATCGTCGTAAAATAATAGATAAAAACGAAATTGTTTTCTGCGGACATAACCTACAAATATGTCCTAACATAACCTATAACAACCCAACATCTACTGATTATAGTGTATTTCAATAAAATTAGTAAAAATATAAACAAATCTAATCATTTGCAAGAACATATAATTCAAAGAAATTACGTATCTCTTAATTTGAAACAATAATCTTGTCAAACAACAGAGTTTAATGGACAACGTGGTGGCGGCGGTGGTCGGGGAGGCTTCCGTGGCGGGCGAGGAGGCGGAGGCGGAGGCCGAGGTGGCGGTGGAGGCCGTGGAGGCTTCGGCGGTGGCCGCGGTGGCGGCGGCGGTAAATTCGAGAAGAGGGGCGGCGGCGGCGGCGGCCGAGGATTCGGCGGAGGTCGTGGCGGTGGTGAGTTGACATTTCATTAATTCCATTTATTTCCAAAAATAAAAGGATGTCCTACTGATATTATAACTGAAGGTTTATGAATCATTTATAACAATTCGAGTTTAAAACAAGCTGAGAAAACTTATGTTCTTTCTGTATTTTACATATACTTAATATTTAGTATCGTTATAATGCAGTAAATTGCCACAAACACTTCCACATTTGAATCTAAACGGTCATGTACACTGCCATTTATTTATTTTTCAATGGGTGATAATGGAATGGTAACCTGTCTGTGCTGGTGGGAAAGGGATTGTTAGTAATAGAGACTGAGAATCCCATTGCTAGCAATATACCCAACCAGGTCGACCCCCTCGCGGTCCCCTTGGAAACTATCATGGTTAATTCCTGATGAATTCATCATGATGGGCTAACTGGCCTGTTTTCATTCTCATCTATCACCCTTCACTGGTGCTCCGCCAGGGTATCCCATTAACGCAGGTGGGGTTACCATAACATTTTCACAAAAAAACCCTACCTGTGCTGTCGGTATATGCTGGCATGGCACCAGCGAGGGATGGATAGATGACAATGAAAGCAGGTTACTTAGCCCACTGTAACGAATTCCAGTAGAATTAACTATGATGTTTTCTAGGGAGAACCATGTGGATATCGACCTAATAGAGTATATTGCTGGCAATGGGTCTTACCCCATTAACAATCCATTTTGCCCCTATACAGTGCGATTTATAAGAATTTTCTCCTGCAAACCCTTAGGTTGTGGAATGAGTTGTCTGTTGAGGCTTTTCTTAGAGACTATATTATGGTATTAGTAAATAAAAGGCATATTAAGTTTTCTTCAGGGTTGGCAACATGTACATGACACCCCTAGTGTTGCAGGTGTCCATAGGCTACAATAACCATTTACCATTAGACAGGCTGTAAGCTTATTTGCCACCTGTGGTAAAAAAAAATTCTCTCTTGTATGTGGATGTTTTAAGAGATGACTAATAGAACTTAATGGTTGAAGGATGAGCAGCAGCATTCCTCTTAAGACTTCAGCAAAACCTAACTGTAGTTGTCAACCCATCTGCCGCCTGTGTGATTTCTATTAGCGAACACCTTGTGAGGGAGACCTATGTTCAGAAATGAACAGTTCAACATTCAGAAAGTGTCATATAATTATAATTTCATTAAAATCCATTCATTATCATGTGATTGATTAATTAACATTAAAATATTACAAACTTTCACATTAATCTGCCCTTCATACGCTTTCTGTTTTTACCCAATGGTTAGCTGGTAGAGAATGGCATATGGCATTAAGCTCGCCATTTGTACAAAGTTTTATTGTGCAATAAGGAATAAATGAATAAATTAATAATATCAGTAGAATAGAATTAGTTGCATAAAATGATGACACCATGGTCCCTCTAATCTCGACCTATTCGTGAAGACTATGATACCACATACCCACTACTGATTACAAACAGACAGATACAGTAGTGAACTTTTTTTATTACATTCACTTAAATGGCGATAACTCGGCAGGACGCGGCCGCGGAGGACCCCCCAAGAGAGGAGGCTTCAAGGGGGGCAAGCAAGTTATCATCGAACCACACAGGTTTGTATGGATTTTAATTATTAAATTAATTAATTACAAATAATAGGGCAGTATTGTCCATATCCTATAATGCAAATAAAGTATACTTATTCAATTTTTTTTCCTTTATGTATGATGTATTAAGTTGGTCTTAAAACTACGTATAAAATATTATAAAGGAAATAAAAGGTTTATTTATTTATTTAAGTTCACCAACAATTGTTTTCACAAAATAATGTAAATATATATACAATTATGTAGCTTGGAACTAAGTGTAACAATTTTTTATAGCATATATTGATACATTTATAGCAATAAGTAGGGGTTTTTCCAAGAGACTACAGCATGGGGTTCTTCAAAAGGGGGGTAAAGAGGTTTCTTCAGGATCGGCAACGCGCGCGTAATACCTCTGGTATTGCAGGTGTTCATAGAATACGGTAACCACTTACCATCAGGTGGGCCGTATGCTTGTTTGCCACCACAGTGGTATAAAATAAATAAATATATTATATATATATAAATATATTTCCATTTGACATGATGTAATTGCAAATAACTTTCGTTCTTCTGAAAGCATACAGCTTGAAGCCAATATATTTCACTGATCAGATACCCGTCACTCCGTATACCCACCACATCCACTACCCATGTAACTGTAAAATCTATTTACCAGGCATGCAGGAGTGTTCATAGCAAGAGGCAAAGAAGATGCACTCGTTACGAGGAATTTGGTGCCCGGCTCAGAAGTGTATGGCGAGAAAAGGATATCTGTTGAGGTTTGTTTATAAATTTGTATACTTATATATGTTCAGGAGAAAAAATCTAGACTTTATGCATATCATTTAGTTCATTTCTTTTTTTATTTTTCGTAAAGAAACAAATTGTTTTACCAACTTAATCATAATAAAAAAAATGCTTTTAATATTGCGTGAGAGGATGATTGGAGATTATCAATTCAGTTGATTTTTTTTTTTATTTGTTACCTCAACCCTGTCAGTTGTAAATCAATTTGGAAAATTTTTTTTTTTTATCTGAAAGGATATATTTACTAATTGGTCTCGTAGAAATTTAATTAAAATCATTTTTGCCATAATTCAAGTTGGAGAACTAATTTGATTTATTATTCAAAAGAATTTGTGGACTGATTTAATTATTTTGTGTCTTGTTGTGAACCTGATTTTTTAATTATTTTTTTTAAATCACTATTGGTAAACATGAAAAAAAAAATATTGCTATCGACTAGTTTATAGTCCCATATGATGATTGTGGTCCCTCTAAACTTGACCTATTCATGAAGACTATGTCCACATACCCACTTCTGATTACATTTACTCCATTATCCCCCCTTCCCCAACTGTGTTACCTTCACTAAATACTCCCCCTATTTTGCAGAATGAAGGCGAGAAGATTGAGTACAGAGTATGGAATCCATTCAGATCGAAATTGGCTGCAGCCATTATGGGTGGTGTGGATGCTATCCACATGCCTCCAGGGTCCAGGGTGCTGTACTTGGGTGCCGCCAGTGGGACCACCGTCAGCCATGTGTCAGATATTGTTGGACCTGTAAGTATTTGTATGAATAATTATGCTATGTCACTCTGCTGTCTATAGGTGACAGTTTTTTTTATGGATCATACCTGTATGTTAACCCCGCCTGCGCTAACAGTATACGCTGGTTAGGCATAAGTGAGAGATGATAGGAGAGAATGAAAAGGCAGGTCAGTTAGCCCATTGTGATGAATAACACCTGGAATTCAGCATGATGGTTTCCAGGGGGGACTATGTTCAAGTCAACCTGGTTGGGCATATTACTAGCAATGGGACTGGTAGCCCGCATTATTATCAATATATTGATAAACAATATTGACATATTTTGGCTAACAGCCCTTAAGATATAACACTTGTCTCCGAGAATGGCAACATATAAGCAGCACAGTATATTCTGTGAGGTTCCTAGTGCTGTTTATAGCATTTACTATATAAGATATGTAGTGTGAAGATAGTTAGTTTTATAATTGTTCTTTGTTTGCAGGAAGGCCTAGTATATGCTGTAGAATTCTCACACAGATCTGGGAGGGATCTCCTCAATGTGGCAAAGAAAAGAACAAATATCATACCCATTATAGAAGATGCTAGACATCCACTGAAGTACAGGTGTGTATATCAATTTCTGTATGAAAACTGAGAAATTTATAAAAATATATTTTAAGTTGCTATTGAATTGTTTCATCTATAGATAGGAATTTTTAGTTTTATTCATTCAAATTACTTCAATCAAATTACTACTTTAAAAAATCCATTTATATACTTACTGTAAGAGATCCCTCTATGGGATAAGTCCACCATTGTATATTAAATTTTTTAATGTGTCCAAAATAAATTATATACAATAAAGATTTTACATGTATATACCAAATTTTATAGTGATTAGTTCAGCTATTAAGGCGCAAGTAACAAAAAACAAACTCGCTTTCAAATTTTATTAATAGTGAAAATTCTTAATATCACGAAAAATTTTAACAAAGATGATAAAATAGTGATGAACATCCTATGACCTAAATATTTCATGTTGATACCATTGAACTCTCTCTCTGATACACAAAACCAAATTACAACCATCTCCCTCCGATATACACTTTACTAATATGTCTGTCTCCCTCCAGAATGCTAGTTGGCATGGTGGACACAATATTTGCTGATGTGGCGCAACCAGACCAAGCCAGGATAGTCAGTCTGAACGCGCAGCACTTCCTCAAGAACGGCGGTCATTTTGTTATATCAATAAAGGTAAGTTACCTTTCAAGTAATTTGTTTGTCAATTGTAGTATAGATCACATATATGTATTACCCCATTGAATTCTAATATGGTCATGTTCACTACAATGGTAACAGTTGACAAATGTCTCTGACTACACTGCTAAGGATCAGTCTTGAATGCAGTTATTTTTCTTTATTAAACATGCGAATTTGACTTCAAAGATTTTCCATTTGAAGTTGTATAAAAAAAAATTGCATCTTTTTAGTAATTTAAAAAAAAATCGCAAAATCTAATCTTTTTATTAGAATTTTGATATTATGGTTAACTAGTGTATAGTTATGTAAATTTTTTGTTGTTACTCCTTATTTATTTATTTATAGCAAGGCAACAGATTACAAATTAATACATTTATAAAATAAATATTACATAAAATGGCATTAAATTTGCACTCAAACAACTGCTCTGCATAACATTCGATATTATATACATTAAAAGAATGACGGCTATAAATTTAAAGTAACAAATTGGCAGCCTCAATGTAACATTGCAAGGATTGTTGGAAGATATCAAGCTCCTTGCATACATTGTTATATTTTCTACACACGCGGATAATTGCATTGTGATACGATACATAATTATTACAAATCTGTATATAAAATAATTTGTGTATTCTTTTATTACCTGTACAAAATGAAACAAGGCTCAACAATGTGCTACTGTCCCATTTATAATGATGAAAGAAATATGCTAAATTTGTCATGTTGAAATTTGAACTCTCTCACTGAAGTACTAGTATACATATTTGTTAACTGTTACTTTTATGAATTACCATTTTTCACCATAAACAATTCTTCCAGGCATCGTGCATAGACTCGACGGCGCAACCGGAAGCAGTTTTCGCGTCAGAAGTGAAGAAATTACAAGCGGACAAGTTGAAACCACAAGAGCAGCTTACCTTAGAACCTTATGAGAGAGACCATGCAGTAGTGGTTGGGGTATTCAGACCACCGCCCAAGAAAGCATAGACAAAAATCAATGACTAGTTATTTTTTTTAATTACAGACTAACCCCTTATTCATAAAAATGTTATTCATTTAATTAACCTATTTTAGTTATTGTTTTTTGAACTCTTATATATAAATATAGGAGATCTTAGACTTTTTATGTGCGGACACTATTACTGTAATAGTTTGCATCAACAAGTATTGGCGAATGGAACCACATGTATCAGTATTTCTTTTTAAGTGTGGTAATTTTTGACAAATATATACATTTATTGTGACTACATACAGTTTATATGTGGAACATTTTCAGAACCTGCATGTTTTCGACACAATGTATATTGGTATGAAATAAATAAAATAAAAAAAAAATTAAATGTAATTTGCCTTGTTTAAAAAAAACTGTAAATACCGAACTTCTCAGACTTGGCATGTGTATGCAAAATGACGGTCATTTCATTCCTAAATAAGCGTCCAACATTATTACCTATATAAATATATAGGGTAATAATGCATTTATATATATGTGTGTGTGTGAGTTTAAAGTATTCCTTATTTAAAAGTTACGGAATATTCTAATATTTGAAATAGGTTTGTAGTTTTCAGTTTTTATGAATAAGGGGATTTGAATATACAGAAAGATGCATTTACATACGAAAATGCATTAAAACAGGTTATTGCAACATTATTTTTAAATGTTGCCATATCTAGAAATTAAACTGTATTTGTTTCACATGTCGAAATATTTTGGACTGTGATATATTTCCAACTTAAGTAGAAGTTTTTCATCAGTAAAAATGTCAAGTTATTTTTAAGTTTTAAACCTATTTCACACAATGATTTTACAACAGTGTATTGTGAAAAGGCTTTTAGTCATAAGTTGTGCATATGAGATGAATGTATGTTAAATAGGTGATAAGAGAGAAATATAAAATGGTTCAATTGAGATTTTTTGTTTTATTTATTTATTTATTTATTTATTTATTTGAAAATTTCTCACTACACTTACAGTTTCCCAAAACGTGTAGTGAGCCAAAGTTTTATTTCACAAACTTACAAATTTTGTACAACATTTTAAAAATATACTTCTTTTGTAATTAAATATGTCAATATCTGGCTGCTGAGCAATCAGAGAATTGAGCAGAGAAATAGCCTGATACGTGGGAGCAAACTGAGCAGTACAGGTACGAACCGGCGGTGCCGATAGTAGTCTACAAGCACGCAATCGCATGCAGCGTTGGGGTGCGTACAAAGAACAACGGCTAAGAGTTACAGGATTGTCTATTCCGCCGTTGAGCAACTGATAATAGTGCATCATCAAATTGCACTTTCGCCTTACCTCGAGCGTGTCTAGACCTACCATACCGGATACGAACAGTGATGGGTACAAATAAGGATAGTAGCCGTAAAGTTTACTATATAGAACACGTGCAAATTTCCTCTGAACTCTTTCTATCATTATCTTGTATTTTGTTTCATGAGGGTTCCAAATAATTGAATTGAATTCTAAAATGCTTCGTACAAATGAATAATATAATAATAATATTGCACCTTTATCTTGAAGTTGTGCCGACTGTCTTATCACAAAACCTAACGATTTATATGCACGACTACAAACGATGGTTATATGATTATTAAAAGTTAAAGCAGTGTCCAGCGTAAGGCCTAAATCGCGTATTTGTGACACACGTTCAAGCGGCGTACCAGATATATTGTAGACATAAGAATGGGGAACACGAGACCGCGTGAATGTGACCGATTTACACTTTGAAATATTAAATTCCAAGTTATTATGTCCAGCCCATGCCACAACGTTGTCAATATCTCGCTGTAGAGTTACACAGTCTTCCATGGTTCCGATAGCCATGAATAGCTTCACATCGTCAGCAAACATGAGACACTGAGCAGTGTTAACAACATCTGGCAAGTCATTGATCATAATTAGGAACTGCAATGGACCCAGGGTACTACCCTGGCTTACTCCGGAGTCGGTAACATAGGATTCAGATCGATAACCATGTAATTGGACGTATTGCGAGCGATCGGAAAAATAACTAATAAATAATTTTAAAAGTTTAGGTGTAAATCCTATCTCTGAGAACTTTTTTAATAAAATATCATTGTGAACGCGATCAAATGCTTTTTTGAAGTCAAAATATGTCACGTCTACTTGTCTATTATGATCCATTTCAGTAACTGTATAATCAACAAAGTTTATCAGATTAGTAGTAGTCGACCTACCAGGTCTGAATCCATGCTGACAGTCTGTCAATTGAGGCTGGACTTGCACCGAAATAAGTCTGTTTAAAATGGATTCAAATAATTTTCCTAAAGCTGGAAGTACAGCAATTGGCCTATGATTTGAAATTTGGGATTTAGAACCATCCTTGGGTATAGGTATAACCCTGGACACTTTCCATAGCTGCGGATAGGTACTTGTTGTGATAGCCAAGTTCATTATATGTAGGAGCGCTTCCTCTAAAACTCTTATGCAATCTTTAATAATAAATGACGGTATACCGTCAGGCCCAATGCATGTCCCCACCCTCAATCGTTTTACTGCTCGCTGCAGGTCGGTTAGCGTTATATTCTCTATAGCGACGCGAGCAGAGAGTTGGGAACACCTTGCCTTGCTTTCAGCCAGATTGCCAGATAAGACAGGTTTATCGTCTAAAAAACTCGATTTAAAATGTTTTGCAAATGCATTTGCAGCATCTATCCCAGTCACCACTTCCCCATCATGATCGTATAGGTCTTGGCCCCTTCTATTAGAACGTTGATTTCGTATAAACTCCCAGAAACTTTTCGGATCATTCTTTATATTAACCTCAGTTCGCGTGATGAAATTTTGATAAGCTATCCTAATTAATTCTTTTGTACGCTGACGATAAAATTTAAACATTTCTCTATTGAATTCTTTACTATATTTTTTATACTTTTTTAAGTGATAATACTTATTTTTTATATTTTCTATAATTTCTTTCGTATACCATCTCGGATATTGATATTTATAATTACTGCAAAAATTTTTAATAGGGACATTAGATTCTAAACAACACGAGTGAAATATATCATAAAAATAATTCAATGCTACATCAACATCGTCACAAGTGAATATCTGATTCCACCTTGCCGAAGCTATCGATTCATATAGTGAATGTAAGTTCGATTTTTTAAAATTCCACTCAGTGACTGATTCATGCGACCGAAAGGTACAAGCGCGCGGACCCGCGTGCCGCGAACGCGGCATCGCGAGGTAGATGCCGAGTGGTGGATGATGTGCATCTGCCGGCACTAGCGGTTTCACATCCTCATACATTTGTACATATTCACTGCTCAGATTGCTTAACACTAAATCTAGAATGTTACCATATTTATTTTTTGTTACATTATATTGATTCAATTTACAAAAAGCAAGCAAATAACTATATTGTAGAATAACATTTTGGCTACAGGAATTTAAGTTAAAGTCGCCCAGTATGACGACATCCAAATTTGAATATTTTGCGATTACATTCTCTAAAACTAAAAACGTATTTAAGTATTTTTCATCATTCGAGTTAGGCGGTATATAAACAACACTGAATACAATTGTTTTAGATTTCAATGTGACAAGTGCCATCACTATTTCAATCTGCTCCGTGTACCCACTAATGTTTAATATTTGTTGGACTTTGTAATGCGAACGTACTGCTAATAGCACTCCACCCCAACCGGCATTATTTGGACGGTCTCGGCGTACTATGGTATAACCGTCGGGGAACACTTCCGCATCAAATATACTACTAATTAAAAATGTTTCCGTTAACGCATATATGTCAGCTGATTCACTGAGTATTGATAACTTACAAGTATGTAATTTAGAACGTAGTCCTCTAACATTTTGATAAACAATTTTGTGGTGTTTATACTTGGGCGGTATCATCGATTTTCTTGCGAAATCCACTACGCCAAGGTCTGATGTAGACATCCTCTATCCAATTTTCAGATGCTAGGTACTTATCTAGATGTTTTGTAGGCACAGATAACTTAAATGACGCATAATCTCCTCGCGACTTCAGCGCTTCGGCAGAACAGTTATCTCCCGGGCAAATGGTTCGGAGATATTCATTAACCTGTTCAACTGTAGTGCCGATTTTCACATAATATAAATGTAAATATGACTTCCGCTGTGCAGCCGACAAAGTAATATTATTGTCAGTAGGGATGGCCGTACCACGAGTAACGTTGACGAGCGAGCGTCGAGTACGCGGTCGTTTTATCTCGATCCATTCTCGCGCGCTGTCCGTTGCCTCAGCCCCAGTGTCACTCGTCAACGTAACTATAGCTTCGTGGTTATTATCGGGCGTCGATGGGGCACACGGAGTAGGAGGTCCACCTGTTGACGTCGTTGCCCGATCCGTATTGTTTCGCATTGTTGCCTTTTTTGTAGCACCTGCAATTGCTGATGACGCACGAATACGAGCTTCACGGATTGGTCGTAGCCCAGTCTCCGATGTCGAGCTACCCTCACCATCACTAATAATAGATTTCGACGAAACTTTTTCATCACCGATTAGATTTTTAATTAGCTTGTATTGGTCAATAATAACTTTCTCGAGTGATAAAACTTTACTCTGTAGTGAAAGCACTGTTTTAGTTAACTCGCGAATAGCAACTTCGGTACTTTTAGTAGACATTTCTATTTTTTTAGAAACAAATACGTAGAGCCGCACTAACTTGCACGAATCGACGATGCTAACTTTTAATCAAATAATTGTCTGTTCCCCTACAACATTTTCAGACAAAGCGGGTTAGTTAGCCCATCGTGATGAATTCAAGAATAAACTACGATGGTTTCTAATGGGAACCGCACGGAGGTAAACTTGATAGGAGTATATTGCTTGCAATAGGGAACTAAACCTAAATAAAATTAAACGTTACTAACATCCCTTTTCCCTCAATGTATGTATTATATTTTTTTATCCATTATTTTGATTTTAGGCACACCTTGTACCAGAAACAAATTGATGAATTTTATTCAAATAGATTTTACAAGTGCTTATAAACCGTCATTTTTTTATTAATGCAGGGTTTGGAAAGTATCTGTTGAGAAGAGCCCGCAAGAAACTTAACAGTTACTGTTTTAAATCTCTTTTGATATTATGTGTACACCTATCCCCCGATTTACACGGTACTTGTTTTACACGTTTTCGCTTTTACACGGTTTTCCAAATAAGTTTTCTTTTTTGTTTTTATCGCACTCTACTAAATGCTACTGTGTTTGAACACGTGCGCTGTGTACACATCTCACGGGGAATCCCGAGCTTATATGCTGACTTGCTGCACATGCACACTGTGTCTATTTCTTCGCATAAAATTAAAGTTTTATCTACGGAAAATTGTATTTGAGTGAAAGTTTCACAGTGTCAGAAAGATTTAATTTTTCATATTCGTAAATTACAAGTGAGTGCATAATTAAGATTTTTATAAATTAACATAAATTAAAAAAAAAAAATATAAGCTTATAATGTCGAAAGAAGTTAAAAGTTATTTCTTTAGAAACTTAAATCGAAATTTTGGATCGTTTAATGTATTGTAATTAAATAAAAAAAACAGTGTTTCCGTAATATATTACATATTTTAACCTGTCAATGCATTTTATTTTTATTTCTGTGTACACCTAAAAATATTGAAAAAAATAACAACTGTTAAATAGCAAAATTATGCATTTTCTGCAAGCTTTTCGATTTACACGGTTTTGACATGAAAATGTTTAATTTTTGATTTACACGTTTTTCTCAGGAACGTATCTACCGTGTAAATCGGGGGATAGGTGTATTTAAATGTACAATGTCTAAAATTACATTGTCGATAAAAGCCCGTGCATGATCGACTAACACCATTCTCACTTATCGTTCAAGTAATCGTTAAGCATGTAATAGGCTTTGTTCAAAGTTTTTTTTTTTAATAACAATTTTAAACTTATAGAAACGTAGACTAAGATATATAATTTTAAATGCTCATTGCTAAAAAGTCCTATTTCTCTATTAATCCTCATTTCACGCTGGGACCCGCCATATTTCACCTATTAAAAAAGTATATAAATATACATATAGTATGTATATTTAGTCATCCATGCATTTGTAAGTGTAATCATTTAATTTAATAATTTATATTAGGTACAAATGGATAATGTTATAATTTTGTGGGCCCTGGTTGCATTTATTAAAGAATTTATTTATTTATTATTATTTATACGATCGTTATGTAAAAAAAAAACACCAAATTTAAAAGTTATAAACATTTATATATTTTCATGTCAATCCTCGTCGGATTGTCCAGAGTCAGTATCCATTTCGTTGCCGCTCTGCTCCGAATGCTCGGATCTCCTGTCTGCTGATTTCTCGTCGTCCGACTCTCCCGGCAACTTGTCATCGTCCCATGTGTGTTCGCTCTCCGAATGGTATTTTTCTACTTCCATCTCTTCGCCCGACGATGAGTCATCTGTTATGAGTAATATAATTTAAAATTTTATTACACAAAAAAAAAAAAACTAAAATTGTGGCATAACTCTATGCAAAAAAAAAAAATTAAAATTAATCCACTGAACCGATTTCGATCAAATTTGTATGAAAGCATATATTTTTAGATAACAAAGAATTTTCCATATAGGTTTATAAATAACAAGGTTTTGGGGTAGCAAACATAAAAAGAAATACAACTAAATTGGTTATGTTTTAAAAATAGAAATAGCGCGTAATGTGAAAAAAAAAATACAAGTGAGAAATTTTACAAGAGAACAACTATGCTAATTACACTTACCATTGTAATCAAGTATCGCCTCCTGGCCCTCTATGTGATCGTTCTTGGCTGACCGCTGTGCCATCGCCAGCTCCAGCCGCCCCTTCAGGTTTAATAGCTGGCACAGGTGCGACCGTCTGCAATTAATAAGCGAAATAAATAAATATACAGTAGGACAAAATAAGTAGTTTAAACAATTTTATATTATCAATTTAAAGTTTTTCAACTGCATAACTTTGAGACAGCCAATATGATAAAAAGGCTAGATCGATTCAGATAAACTTATATTACAAATTAGGATAGTTTAAAGGGAGGACCGTATGGAGGTCGATCTGATTACATTTAAATTTGCTAGCAATGACGTTTTTTAAAGGATTATACTGGAATGACAAATCCGTTTGCGTTGAAGGGATACGCTGGTGGGGCACCAGTGAGTGATTAGATTAGATTAGATTAGATTTCTTTATTTGCGAGAACATTGCTTTTTACAGATATTGATCCATAGTGATGATAGATGAGACTGAAAAGGCAGGTCAGGTAGCCTATCGTAACGAATTCAACGATAAATTAGTCACGATGGTTTCCTGGGGGAATCGCGTGGAGGTCGACCTGATAGGGTATATTGCTAGTAACGGTCAGTTAGCCCATGATGAATTCACTTATAATTAAACACGATGGTTTCCAATGAGGACCGCATGAAGCTCGACCTAATAAGGTGTATTGGGGGGGAAAGGGATTGTTAGCAATGGAGTTTGACAGCCCCATTGCTAGCAATATGCCTTATTAGGTCGACCTCCACGTGGTTCCCCCTGGAAACCATTGTGAACAATTCTTGTCGAATTTGTCACGACGGGCTAACTGACCTGCTTCATCCTGACCTATCATCCTTCACTGGTGCCCCGCCGGTGTACACCGATAGCGCGGGTGGGGTTACCATTCCATTATCATCCATTAAAAAAAAATAAGGTGTATTGCTAGCAAGACTTAATTCTAACAACCCCCCCCCCCCCCCCCCCCCCCCCCCCCCCACCACCAGTAGGGTGCGTAGAGGCCGCGCGTGTACCTGTGCGTGAGGTACGCCAGCAGCTGCGCGAGGTGCGCGTGCGCAGGCGCGCGGCGCGCGGCCAGCAGCAGCGCCGCGTGCGCGCGCAGCGCCGCCGCCGCCCACGTGCACGCCGCCGCGCATCTGCGGACACAAACCACCGCGATTGATTTATTTCATAAACACCCTAAGGTCGATTCTGAGGCAACATTCTGAACCTATCCCTACAATTAACATTTCAACTTGACATCGCAGTGAAATCTTTATTACAAGAAGCGACATGAACTAATTTTGTAATAGATTTAAGTCAACAATTCTTATAATTTTACTTTATAGAAATCCATGAAACAGTAATTTTGAAAAATTATCAAATTGAAATATAGTAATAGTAATAACAAATGTTTTTATTTCAGATATGAAAATACTGTATCTTACTAATATAATAACATTTTTTATACATATATATATATATATACATCAGAATTTTTTTCTTTTTTTTTTTTTCGGGGGTAGCCGGTTAAAAAAGTAACAGCTGAGTTGTTGCTGTGAGTTGCTGTGTTGCTCTACAATTTTAATTATTTATTGCCTTAATGTGTTACTGTAATTGTCACATATTTTCACCACATCTGCCTTTCATAGGCCTTCTGTTTTTACCCAATGGTTAGCTGGTGTAGAATGCCATATGGCATTAAGCTCGCCATTTGTACAAAATTTTATTGTGCAATAAAGAATAAATAAATAAAATCAGAATACATTAACGCTTATCTGTGAGAGCTGTATACACCTATAATTGATGTGTTCATATAGGCTTAAGCTTGGTAGTGAGGAGTGAGATGTTTATGTTCAAGTAAACTTAGATTTAAGCATTTTTGAATAGTATTTTTTCAATTTTTACTTACTTATTGTACATTGTCTGCTTAATTATTGTGAGCATATTGTCAGTGTATCTTTTAAAAATTAATAAATAAATGCTTAACTATACTCACTGAGTGGTTTTCTTGTTGGCCATGATGGTGAGCTGTTCCAGCAGTAAAGGTACGTACTCAGGCGGCAGGTGCGCCACGGTCTGCGACGCGACCGCCGGATCGTCTTTCAACAGCACCGTTAGTATTAAACTGAAAAGTAACGTGTATTTTGTTTATTTATTTATTTATGCTTTTGCACATTCATTTTTAATATAGATATTAGGTTATGACAAAAATGTACACAAACGGACTTATCCGTTAAAGGGATTTCTTCCAGTCAACCTTGAGAACTCGAAAGGAGAAGGTGTCTATAGGGTTTATGTATAAAGTAGTAGCAGTCAGGCAGGCGGCCGGTCGTAAAACTATAAGCCAAATCCTTTAGTAATATGGATAAAACCATATTACGCCGACTCCAAATGATATTTTTTTTTATACAACTTAGAATGGCAAACAAGCTGACGACCCACCTGATGGAAAGTGGTAACCGTCGCCTATACACATGAGCAGCACCATGGACATAACAGAGTATACTGTTTCGCTCATGATACCCCCCATGCGTTGCCATTCCTGAGGACTCAGGTGTTATTCCTCTGTACCCTGTAAATTGTGATAAGGCTAGGAAGACGATGATTAGACTTTTGATTTAAATAACAAAATCTTCACTTTTTTGAAGTCAATTAAAAAGGCAGATAATAAGGACTTACTTCTTATCCTTAGAGTGCAGCCCTTGCATCAGCAGTTTGGTTAGGTTTTGGCTGACGGCCGACTTGCTACGACTCTTCGGGTCCAGCGCCAAGTTCTCCAGCCTCGCTTCCATCGGTATCTCAATCTGTGGACAAGCATCATCACTGTTATTACAGTAACGTAAGTACATACTAGATGAGTTTGTTAGGGGTGGGTATCTGATATTTATATATTGAATCCGTCTAGACATTAATGTCCACCCATTACGATATCGCCCATACCAATCGGACGTCTTTTCTTTTACCAGAGGGAGACTTTGTACAAAAGTCGATTGCTTGGGTACCTCTGTCTCATTCGTGTTTCTACCGTGAAGCAGTTGTGTTTGCATGGCTGTGTTTCGGTTTGAAGGGTGGGATATGGCGTGAATTAACAGGGTACAGAGGAATAACATCCGAGTCCTCAGGAATGGCATCGCATGGGGGGTATCATGTGCGAAACAGTATACTCTCTTATGTCCATGGTACTGCTCATGTGTATAGGCGACGGTTACCACTTTCCATCAGGTGGGCCGTCAGCTTGTTTGCCATTCTAAGTTGCATGAAAAAAATTCATATTCATTACAAATGGTTTTTTTTTTCAATATTACATATTATATACTAATATATTTATTTCTGAAGGTTACATAGTTAATGTACTTGTATTGTGAAGAACTGGTGTCTGAAGTAGGACAAGCCTGTGTTACAGATCACCAGGTCCTCACCCCATGGTCTGGACACTATTATACAGTTTGCTCTGGTTATATTGGCTAACCGATAGTCAATTTTAAACTTCCGCGTTGTTTACACATATTTTAAATACATTATTACACGAATGCACAAGCATGCACGCACTCACACACACGCACACACGTACGCACACACATGCGCGCACACGCACGCACACATGCACGCACGCACACACACGTACTCACCTTTTCACATAGTTTTTTTGTTGTAAATAAAGTGTACTAAATAGGTAACCGCACTCATAGTCCCCAAGATACAGGTCTGGCCTAGTTTGGGGATTGATGGTAATGCAGATATTTCCTCGTTGAATGTAAATTGTAAAAATTGTAAATTGTACCTTATGCAACTGTATCTTTCTTGAATAAATATTATTATTATTACTATAAAATCGGGACTTGACGCGATGTAAGTCTTTGCTGGTAAATAGTGCCATAATTAGGGATCCTTATTAAAACTTTAGTAACGTAACTCAAAGTGTAAAAAAAAAAAATGTTAAAAAATATCTTTCGTCGCGTGCGCTGCGGAAACTAATGGTGATAGAACAAAAGTATGTTGTACAATATTGAAGAAAATATCAATAACTACAAAAAACTCCGCGATACTATATGTCCAGCTATTATCGTTATGTCACAATAACCACTTTTTAAAACGCTGTAAAAATGTCCACCCGTGCGAAGCCGGGACGGACTGCTAGTTATATATAGTAATAAATAAATAACCACGTACCTTCCCGCCGGGCACGGGCCGTTTCCTGCTGACCCCGCCCATCGGTTCCACGTATGTCACGTCCTTGGTGTCCCCAGTCCTCACTTTGTTCACTTCGTTGGTCTCATTCTTCCTCTTGTCCACTTTGCTTGTCTGCTCCGATTGTTCAGCGCGGATAAGAATTTGCGTTTTGGACTTCAGGTCCGGTGTCTGGAAACACAAGTTGAGGGATGGAACATGGATAATTTGATATCAGATTTTAATTATAGCCACTTTTAATACAACTGAATTAAACTGAAATAATTAAAGAATTCACAAAAAAAAAAAAAACTAGCTTTAATTGTGTAAAAACCAGTTATTTTAATCTAAAAACTAAATTATTGAGACAATTTTGATAAAATTTCCATGTCACCAATCTGTATGTATTTTATTTTATTTATTTATTCTTTATTGCACAATAAAATTTTGTACAAATGGCGAGTTTAATGCCTTTATGTATTGCCTTAATGTATATTCTTTTAGATAAAACAGAATTTTCCAAATCGGCTTACAACTAACGGACTTATGAGGAAACAAACAAAAAAAATACAATCGAATTGCGAAGAATCACCTTTTTTTGAAGTCGGTTAAAAATGGTTGAAAAATTATAAAACATGATACAATTCTTCTCAATTCGTTTGTGTTTCTTTTTTCATCACCATCATATCAGCTTTTAACTGTCCATTGCTGAACATTAGTCTCCCTTTTGGAGGGTTTTGCCAGCAGTTGCCACGCTTGGCAACCGCAGTTATGCTTTGGTGATGTTTTAACCCTTCTTTGCATGATTTTTTTTTATTGGTGAAATAAATCCATGTTTAAAATTAAAGGAAAAATGTTTAAAAAAATAAATTTGACAGCTAAGTTTTTTTTTTTCTACAATGGACATTAAAAAGGTATCCAGACACGATCAATTTAAAGTGAACTTGTTCTTTTATATAATTTTTGGGCGTTCAATGTTATGATGGAAATTTCCACCGTTATGCAAAGAAGGGTTGAGAGGGATGCTGCTACCCATCCCTCCACCACTAAGTTTCCTTAGTCGCCTCATAAAACATACAAAAAACTAATAGTACTTATCGAGCAATACTTACGACATTTTCAAACAGAGTGACAGGCCCACTGGTGTATCCCACCAGTACGTCCTGGCTCCTCAGGTGGCAGCACTGCAGCGGGAACGGGGTCGCCCCGGAGCTCGTCACTTGGATCGTTACTGACGGCTTTATTGGTTTCACTGATGATCTGTAAAGGAATTATTTAACCAACATCAATACATGACAAATACCGATACCGCTTTAATATCTATATATCGGTTTCATATGGACATAGATTTTAAGAGAAAAGTCTACGAATATCTTTGGAAAGAACTGTGAAAGCTGTTCATCATCTTCACCATCATCACTTTTGATCTCTATCGTTGTTTATTTGTGTTATCGTATATGATCTATAAGTATGTAGGTATATTTTTATATGTATATTTATATTTGTATGTATGTATTTTTTAATACATATTTGTATATCTATGTATTATTTGTTTAATGTATTCATGTATATATATTTATATACTCATAATGTGCAGTAGTTCTCTATTGTATGTGTTGTAATTTCTTTCACCGCATAATAAAATTTCTGTTTGGTCAAATGTTGACTGCGAGAGAATGCTGTATAGTATTAAGTCGGCCTTTTGTACCAGAATTTTTTTTGTAATGTAGTCAATAAAAAATAAATAAATAAAATAAATAGATGGAAAAAATTCATTACCCATTTCAATACACCCATACCAGTTATATATCTATATTAATTGTAACCAGATTCTACATTTCAATATGAAATGTTGGATAACAGACGTTTACCATATGTGTTATTGAGCCCGTGTATGGATACTGTAACTAAAATATATACATATTGCTATACATATATTATCCATGCCTAAATCCAATACTAATATTATACAGAGGAAAGATTTAAAGTATTGTATTGTTATGGCACACGCACAAACGGAATTTTTTTTATACCACTGAGGTGGCAAACAAGCATACGGCCCACCTGATGGTAAGTGGTTACCGTAGCCTATGAACACCTGCAATACCAGAGGTATTACGCGTGCGTTGCCGACCCAAATATTTAGCTATATGTATATATTTTTAATCATTTATGTTATCTCGCTTTTTTTGTGTATATATGTTGTAATTTGTGTGCTGTATGTAATGCAAATAAAACTATCTATCTATCTATCTAAAGTATAAACTCAAAAGCTACTCGACGGATTTTAAAAATCCTTTCGCCTGTAGAAAATGGTTTCCCTACTGTTGACTGGGAGAGAATGCTTTTAGCATTAAGTCCGCCATGTACACATATATGTACTAATAAATAAATAAAATAAATAAAATTATATTATAAAGAAGAAATATTTGATTTCTTGTTTGTAATGGATCTAATCAAAAATTGTTAAAAATTGACTTGTTTTAAAAATTCTTTCACCCATCGAAATCTATCTTATCAGACAGTAACATGGGATGTATTTAAAAAAAAAAAAAATTATACAACCGGGATGGGTCATTAATATTCAATTAAAAATATACAAAACATGTACTTACCCATTGAGCGTATGCCGATAATAGTGAACAACCCCGCTCCTGGTGGCCGCTGCAATCTGCAGCGAGCTCCCCTCATCCTCACTCCTCATGCTTGCATCTATGAAACTCGGAGCGTCCTCCAAGATGAAGCTGTACATGGGGGTGGACGATATGGATACGGACGTTTTCCGTTGCTTCTTTTTCGGTGAAGAGACTTCACCATTGACCTGTGGTACGTGTTCTTCCGTTATAGTCACGTCCCAGAAGGACAGGAGGCGTTCATTTCTGAAAAAATAATACAAATTATAGTCTGTTGTGGTAGAGGTTCATAAGTTATAAATTAAGTTATGAGTTATAATTACGTTAAAACCATTAAGTTATAAATTTAACTAGACATTATCATAGTAACACTTTCTAAATTACTAAACAAAAAGTTTAATTGATCTGTAACAAACTCCTTGCTACACTTTTTTATAATATTAAAATAACAATATATTTGGTATAATTAGCTGCGACACAGTCTCTTTGCGACTAATGTAGTTCCTTCGTTCCTTAATAAACATATTTATTATTTTTTATAATTATATATTAATAAAGGTATTATTAGAAAAAAAAACTTAATAAAGCCCCCCATTTAGTCATTATGTCCTCCACTACTTGATACATTGATTGTTGATTTGTACTACTATTGAACATATGCTCTCATAGCCTCACGGCCCAACCAGCTCATCTCTAAATAAGTCTATGAAGATGTTATGTACATACTAACATTATTTATTTATTTAAACTTTATTGACCATAAAAAAAATATGGTAAAAAAGGCTGACTCAACACTATAGTAATTATCTACCAGTCAACCTCTAGGATGTACAGAGATACTTGAGTAGCAGCTTAAATAAAATAATACTTTGGAATTATTTATTTAATACTTTATTGTACACATCAGTTATAAAAATATGACAGAGGTAAACAAATGTACAAAGGCGAGCTTAACTCTGATAGAGTTCTCTTCCAGCAACACCCAAAGTGGAAAGGAGCACCAATGTCAGCGGATACAGCAGTGATAATGTTTAAACAGCCAAAATTAAATTAATTACATTATATTTTATCCTACAAATACACATATACATACACATACCTACATCTATGCATATACTTACACATACATACACATATACATACAATATACCTACATATATAGATAAATAAATATATGTTCATAGAGATAGAAGATGCTCTTTAAGTCTACTCTTAAAAATATTTAGGGATTGACTCTCACAGATAGATATGGGAAGAGAATTCCACAATCTAGCAGCATGGACGGTAAAAGATCCACTATATAATTGCTGTAACTTATAGTACATATGCACATAATACCTCCATCCATGTATACAATAGAAAAACATTTAAAAATGCGACACATAGTAGTAACAATATTTATACTTATTTTAGTAATAAATGTACTACCAATTTAATTTTCTGCTCGCCTCATGATTGATTAGTAGAGAATGCCATTAGGTGTTAATTCCACCACATTGTATTTGTGCATTTTAGTTTAAATAAATAAATATTACATTCATGCACTTATATCTTTAATTTAGTTAAATGTTAGTAGTTAAATGAGTTAAGGAGCCGTCTGAAAATTAGCACTATACAGGTACATCTCGCTGGAGGTGTACATATATAGTAACAGCTGAGGCGGCTCCAGCAACCAGCAAAATGAATTGTTTTTTCTTTTTTATTGTTGTTTTTTGCCCATTATTATTGTCGTTGGTAATAAAGGCTCTATCTATCTAATTATTTAAAGAAAATATATTAAAACTTACTGAGATCCTTCAATCAGCCAACTGGAACCATTTGATGTGGTCACTGACAATAATGCTTTTGCTGTTGTGTTGTGTCCCAAGTGCCTCAATATGGTAGCATCTTCGTTGTGCAACCTCCAGAGGCAGACCTGCCATGATGCTGTTATTATGTAATCAGCTGATGTGTCCTGGAAAAATAGAAACGGTATAATAATTGTATTGTTAAATAACACTTTTTAAAAAGACAGCTTTTACCCATTCTTGTGAATTCAAATGAAATTAAATATATTTATTTGCCAAAACATTTTTACATCAATAATTAATTCTACGATTTTTTTCAAAGATATTAGTGTAATAATTAAATAAATTAATTAAATTTAATACTTAAAATAGATACAGGGAATATTTTTTTTATTATTAGTAGTTTATATTGAATTAATAATTAGCTTTAATATTATTTATATAATAATAATTATTTAACAATTGTAATAACAAAATTTGTACACCACTACTTGTATATTTCAGAACATCTTAATTTTATTAATTAAACAAATTCAAAGTATATATAGTGTTATTTTTTTGTTTAATCAAATTTTTGTCGAGGCTTTAGTACACCGGAGTGACTATGCCAGCCTCATAGGGATTGTCTGAAAGTCAGTTTGTAAGTCCGTCAGGGACACCTTTACCCACAGATATGGCCGTCTATATATAGTGTTAGGTTAGGATAAAACTAACTACTAGCCCGCCTGCTAAGCATGACAACTACTGGAAACCTACTCTCCCATTTTGGGAGAGACCTATGTTTTGCAGTGAACAATTAATGACTGATAAGAAGTAACTTAAAGCTTGTATATTTATACAAGCTTTCCAAACATTAATATTTATAATATTGATAGGAAAAGATTTTTTTTTTAACATAAGTACTTAATACTTTATTGTTGGGGGAAAGGGATTGTTAGTAATGGAGACTGAGAATCTCATTGCTAGCAATACATCCAACCAGGCCGACCTCCTCGCGGTTCTCCCTGGAAACTATCACGGTTAATTCCTGATGAACTCATCATGATGGGCTAACTGGCCTGTTTTCATTCTCATCTATCACCCTTCACTGGTGCTCCGCCAGCATATTGCGTTTGCGCAGGCGGGGTTACCATTCCATTTTCACCCATCAAAAAAAAAAACTTTATTGTTTCAAGGGTACAAAATGAGTACTTAAAAATAAACTCCGGTATAAATATGCAAAATAAAGACTGACCTGGTTATGTGGTATAATTTTTATAGCACTTATGTTATTTGCCTGTTTATTTTTATTATCCACAGTAACATTATACTTAAATTTAACATTTCCTTTACTTAAATCCCATTGATATAAATAGCTGGATTTATTACAGCTGTATAAGCCTGATTTCCTTTGCCAGTCCAGTGCATTGATAGAAGAATTGTATGCATTTCCTTGTTTAAGACTCAAAACAGTTTCTACTTTTGCTTGTGCTAATGAATATATCAGAATCTTTCCATTCTTAGTGCCTAAAGCTATACTCTGCGATTCATCATGTGATATGGAATTGCGTTTACCGCCTTTGCCTTTTTGAGAACTCTGCAAAAAAGAAAATTGGAGGTTATTTTAACGAAAATGCCTATAACACATTTATATCGCAGTCAAATAATTCAGCAGTCAACTCAATAGAGTAAAGAGTATTTAAATGATTCATATATAACTTTATTAAACTTTTATTTTTATAGATATTGAATTAAAACCACGTGTATGACTTACATTTGAAACCGCAAGAGTTATCCATTGTAAACAAACAGGTGGCGAACGTAAATGAAGGTCTGGAGTGTATTCCTGTTTTAGAATATTGGTCTCTGTTTCCCATATCCTCAAACGACCATCTTTGCTAATGTATGAATAATATTTTCCATCTTCGGAAAACGCGGCCACTGCCATGGTTATTCACATAACATTGACACTTTGACTGAACTGACTATTGAAGTCAACTTAATAATTTGAAACAGGGAAAATGACTGACATATATGAGCAGACGTTTCATTACTCTTTTACATTGTCAGAAATGGATTACTAAATGATTCGTTTAATTGAAAAAAAAAAGATATATAAAAAATTTGCCTACGTATTTTTCCTTAATCAATATATAAAAATTACTTTTTACAGTTATATCTATTAAACTACCATAGATTTTTTTTCAATTTTAAATTATTAGTTACTATAATTAATCATCGTCAGCTTCTCATGAAAAGAAACGTAATTGTGACATTAAACATCATTATTATGACATTCGATGTTTTTAAAATGACAAACCAAAAGTTACCATTATCATAAAACAATGTTAACCTTGTACAAGAGATTATTAATACGTTTTTTATTCAAAATAATTACAAATATTATTCATTTATCCTATGTAACAACTAAGCCATTATATTTACTGCTATACATTTACTGTAATTACTTATAAATAATATATTTATTATTGGTAGTCTTACAAATGTTGCTACTCTAAATAAATACAACAATACCGACAAGGCGAAACTAAACCAAAAACTAAACGAAGTTTCCAATTTTTCCAGTTTCACTTCGAACGTCATAAACATCTGTCATACATTATTATTCGCTCTCGCTTGTCCGTGCCCGCAAATGTAGGCGGAGTTCACAATATTTTTTAGTTTATCGTTCTCGTTCCACTTTTCGATATCGTTCTTTTATTTTTAAATCCAGTGCTGAGTGCTGTGCTTTACGCTTTCATCCCCACAGTGATGTGTTTCGAAATCTGTGCATAATTTCTTTTTGATATGCTTTTGTGATTATGATGTCATATTTTTGCTTAGAACCTTGAAAGATGAGTGTTAGTGTCGAAGCGGACGTGTCCAGTCCTCTATCTGAAGGGCAGAGTGGCACCTTGGATCGAACATCGAAATCTTCGTCCGATAGCCTTACATTGAGCAAAACTGAAGATGTCGAGGCCAGCCAAGAAAAAGATGATAAATCTGAGCCTTCTACACCTAAACCCCATCCGATGGCGTTCACCATTGATTTTGGTGATGCGAAACGTGTGGACAATCGTCGATTGGAGGAATTGGCAAAAAAATCGCAGGCTAGACATCAGAGGGTCCAATCCATGTCTGCAAGCCTAACTAGGCCATCTCCAGTGCCTCAGAAAACGCCAATGAGTGCTAAACTGCCTAGAAAAGCTCAAGGATACAACTCTGAAGGTTACTTCTCGTCAGACCAGGAAGATAGTGGCCTCTCAGGGTCTGTGAAACTCCGAAGTAGTCCTCTCTCCCAATCCATGCATGTGACCTCCCCTGTAATTAATAACAGGCACACTAAATCCCCAATTACTGAGACTTTGCAAATGAAACGTACCTCCAAAAGTCCAATAGTTGATAGTATAATGTCAAGAAGTGATAATTTCACAGCAAGACAAAGTTTGAACCTGCCTCTGAAGAGTCCTACAAGTTCCTATGTACGAGACATTCATAGAACCCCAAGTTATGGTAATTTATCATCGTCTTATCAGCCTAAACATAGTAGTATATCTGATATAATTGATCAAAGTCCTGAAGGAGTTATGTTGACTGATATATCTAGTCCAGAACTAGATATTTTAACCCCTGACAATGGCTTGTCCACTCCAGATCATTCCAGAAGCCCTTTAATACGAAAGGGTAGAGCATCATCAGAAACACCAGATTTGTTTAAGAAATGTATCCCAAAAGTAGAGCCTTTATATGTCGATGATGAAGTTGATAGACAGTCAAATAACTCGTCAACTGGTACATACACTATTGAAGGTGATAACTATACAGAAGAGCAGAAAGCTAGGATGAGTATAGATCGTACATTCGGTACACATTTATTAAATGATACAATAGAAGAAACCTTGCAGGTTCAAAATGCCGACAGAGATCCTGATATAGTTTTTGACTTTCCTTCCATTCAGAGAGTTATCACGAAGGAGCCTCGACGGGATGTTGCATTAAGAAGCCCATTAACGAATAAAACATTTGATTTACCAAATAAAGTGTCGAAAGACAAAAATGTGTTAGAAATATCCTGTTGCTATGAATCGCCTACGGAGAATGACTTAGCTGCCCAAACATCTAAGCAGATCAAATCTACTCGTAGTTATTTAGAGAAAATAAAGAATAGGGTACGTACAATAACTGAAAAGACTTTTGCTAAGTCACCACCGAAACATGATGAGGAAGTGGACGTTGGGAGCTTCACATCAGTGACCACTTCTGGTGTGTTGAGCTCTAAGAACCTCCCGAAAGTGGAGATACAGAGTCGGAGAAGGTGTAGTTTGACCAAATCTGAGATTGACCAAACTGATTATATACATAGGTTGTCGAGGGAGTCATCAGTGCCTGTCTGTCTTCCAAGTAACAGGGTACCTTTGGATGGTGCAAAATTTGAGAGCACTGCCTTAAAGAATGCTCAGAAGGCGTTGAGAGATGATTCAGGGGTCTCCTCAGATATTACTCCCGACCAGGTTGTAGGGAAGCTGTCATATTTGAGCCTGAATAGATGTAAAGGGGACAAAACATGGATCCAGGATTGGGCGGAGAGTGTTAAGAAGTACAACCATGATGGTACATTTACGATAGATTCCGAGCGGCCGCCAATGAGTCCGAGGCACGTCCAGGGAAAACGTAAGTAATTTTTTTTTTATTTACAATATTAGTTAAAAACGTGTAAAGAGTGATACTACTTTATAGATCTTAAAAAGCGTAAGTTCGAATCTGGAGCACATTTAAAATGTTAACGGTGTTTTCCATTACTGGAGAGTTAGTCGGAAATGTAAATTGACGTGATTTAATTTTTTATCCGTTTTGAATCGGTTATAAGTTTCAAAACTCTAAGGATAGGTTATGTCAGGTAGACCGCCAGGTGGTCCCCCCTGGAAACCATCGTACTGAATCTCAGGCGTATTCATCACGATGGACTAACAGACCTGTTTTTTCATTTTCACCTGTTATCCCTGATAACCTGAGGGTTGATAGGTGAGGATGAAAAGGCAGGTCAGTTAGCCTATCATAACGAATTTAACGCAAAACCAGTGAGGGATGCATGACCGGGGTAATTATTCCATTTTCACCCATTAAAAAAAAACCCCTATTGGCTACACTTTCTCTCAGCCAATGAACATATCACGGTCACGCGTACGAAGTCGCAGGTTAAAGCTAGTTAAATAAATCTCAGTCTATCAGTTTAGAGCGTTGCATGTCTGTAATACGTTCTTGTCTAAATACGCACACGACGCAATCTACATTCAATACATACACACACAAATACAAATATCAACTTCTGCCCCTATTACGATTAGAAAGTAGGTACGTATTTTACTTGGCTTATCAACTCTTTATCAACACCATACAAGCGTTCAGTGACATTAGCGGTACTTTTTTTTTATGGGTGAAAATGCTATGGTAACCCCCCACCTGCGCTAACGGGATACGCTGGCGGAGCACCAGTGAAGGGTGATAGATGAGAATGAAAACAGGCCAGTTAGCCCATCACGATGAATTCATCAGGAATTAACCATGATAGTTTCCAGGGGGAACCGCGCGGAGGTCGACCTGGTTGGGTATATTGCTAGCAATGGGATTTTCAGTCTCCATTACTAACGATCCCTTTCCCCCCATTAGCGGTACTGGTCGTTTGCTGCGTTTGTATCGCTTAATGGTATTAAAAATTCCAGGTCTACGATGGAACCTTGATCCTATAATTTGATTCATATATGTATATATAGCTTTTTGTCTGTTACTTCGTAATCAATGGAATGAAACATTTCTAGATTACGTATTAAGATAAAACATTGTATATCCTAATATATATATATATATATATATATATATATATATATATATATATATATATATATATATATGCAAACAAGCTGACGGCCCACCTGATGGAAAGTGGTAACCGTCGCCTATAGACATGAGCAGTACCATGGACATAACAGTACACACACATACTGTTTCGCCCATGATACCCCCATGCGTTGCCATTCCTGAGGACTCAGGTGTTATTCCTCTGTACCCAGTAAATTCACGCCATATCCCACCCTTCAAACCGAAACACAGCCATGTAAACAAATATAAATAAATAAATTAATAAGTGATTGTGTTTCACAAAAAAACCGACTTCAAATGTGACAAAACCAGTTATTTTGACCTAAAAACTAAACTAGTGAACCGATTTTGATAAAATTTCTATTGGGACCAATCTGTAAGTATCGTAGTAATCTTTCAGATAAAAAAATATACCCAATCAGGTCGACTTCCACGTGCCACCGCACCCCTGGAAACCGTCATGTTGAATTCCAGGTGTATTCATCACCATGGGCTAACTGACCTGCCTTTTCATTCTCACCTATCATCCCTCATTGATGCCCCGCCAGTGTATACCGATAGCGCAGGTGGGGTTACTGTTAATTGTTATCCATTAAAAAGAAATGGGACACTAGTCCCCGTTACTTGCTTGAGAATCTTCCACGTCAATTGTTTTAAGCTAAGGTTGTCTGGAAGAGATTGCTTAGCGATACGGCCGCCATTTATATCACATCTCATTAATATTTACGTACGTAATATGTAAAATAAATAAATAAATCTATGAACATTGAATGGAATGATAAAAAAATGTATGGTTATGAAATTGGACCATACAAACAAAATTCCTTCTTAAAAAGATTAAGTAGATAAGGCTGTAACAGCAATGTAACAAATATAATAAAATTCTAACTAGGACGGTGTCTGTACATGGGGGATATTAAAGGAGAATTGATATTAGGCATTTTAATAAGAGCAAAAGAATCGAAAATTATATTTTTTTCTTTAAATTTTGTCTATCTGTCTGTCTATAATTCTGTATGTTTTTTTTTATACGACTTAGAATGGCAAACAAGCAGACGGCCCATTTGATGGAAAGTGGTAACAGTCGACTATAGACATGAGCAGTACCATGGACATTACAGAGTATACTGTTTCGCCCATGATACCCCCCATGCTTTGCCATTCTTGAGGACTCAGGAGTTATTTCTCTGTTCCATATAAATTCACTGCTATATCGCACCCTTTAAACCGAAACACAGCTATGCCAAACACAACTGCTTCACTGTAGAAATATGAATGAGACAAAGGTGTCCAAGCAAGCGACTTTTGTACAAAGTCTCCCTCTAGTATGTATGTTTGTTCCGGCATTACTCAAAAACTACTGCATGTAAATGCAGAAATGCAAATGCAAAAATGCTGAAGGTCTAACCTAATAACTGGTGCATGTTTCATCTTGATACGCCATCTAGCGGTGATTTTTCATTGATTTTTCTACTTCTGAAATCCGTGCATACGAAGTAGTGGGCAAAAGTTAGTGTAGGTATAATCTAAGAATGTAGGATGTGCCTGTTATCTTATCATTGGAAAATGTACTTTATGTCAATACAGTAACGTGTAATCAGTAGACGAGATTAGGAAATGCGGTTTGCACATTCTTTTACACGTGTGGAGGTGCTAATCTTAGTCCTCAGGAATCGTGACGTTTGAAAGGTACCATGGGCGACACAGTATATTTTGTGGTGTTCACTGTATTTTTTTTTAATATAAATGAAATGGTCAACCACGATGGTTTCCAGGGGGAACCGCGTGGAGGTCGACCTGTTAGGGTATATTGCTAGTAATGGGTCTTGTGTTCGATTTCGCTACTAACAATTCCTCTCCTACTGTGTTCACTTAAGGTTGTATAAAAAAATGACAATGGGTGGAGTAGTCTGTTTTAACCGACTTAAAAAAGGAGGATTCAATTCGGTTGTATTTTTTTTTATGTTTGTTACTTTATAACTCTGTTACTAGTAAACCGATTTGTAAAATTCTTTTTTCATCTGAAAGGATATACTTACAGATTGGTCCCAATAGAAATTTTATCAAAACAAAATCACTTGTTTATTTATTTATTTATGTTTGTTTGCATGGCTGTGTTTCGGTTTGAAGGGTGCGATATGGCAGTGAATTTACAGGGTACAGAGGAATAACACCTGAGTCCTCAGGAATGGTAACACATGGGGGTATCATGGGCGAAACAGTGTACTCTGCTATGTCCATGGTACTGCTCGTGTCTATAGGCGACGGTTACCACTTTCCATCAGGTGGGCCGTCAGCTTGTTTGCCATTCGATGTTGCATAAAAAAAGAAGATTAGTGATGACTACGAATGTCAAACAAACGCTGTCGCGGGACACGACTAGTGACGTAACGTAGTGTAAGAGACAAGTAAATAGTTACAAGTACAAATCTAGTTCGCTCACAGAGGCGTCATTGTTAGCATTTCTAGGTCATTTCCCAAAAGAATAATGTTGAATCATTTATGATTGTTCCGTACAATTGTGAATTTTTTATTAAGACATATGTATATATTGTAAATTATAGTTCACTGTACTTTTAGATATGTTATTTAATGTTGTGTAGGTATTGATACTATTGATCCGATATCTATATATTGGGCTCCTCTGAACCTTGTTGGCGGAAAAAAGGGCGTCACCCATTTCGATACTAGCTGGATATATACATATTTATTACATTGGGGCTCTGCATTTCTATGTAACATATTTGACAACAGGTATTTAATATACTTGAACCAATATATAACAAATTTATTTTTTTTATTTAAATAACTTTGTTGGCCAAAAGAAAATACGGTACAAAAGGCGGACTTAATGCTAGTAGCATTCTCTACTAGTCAACCTTTGGGGTGAACGGTGAATCACGGACGAGCTACTTCATTATTTGGGATAGGTAAAGAAAATAAGAGTTAATAATGTATACCTATATAATAATAAATAATTTATAAATAAATATTTTTTTATATATATATATATATATATATATATATATATATATATATATATATATATATATATATATATATATATATATATATATATATTGCTATATAAAAAATTCAAAATTTAAAATACCTTTATTCATGTAAGTCTATTCCAGATTCTTATGATATGTCAAATCTACCGTCAGTTCGGAATGATTTCGAGACGAGAAGAACTGACAAGAAACTCAGCTCGTTTTTAAATAATAAAAATATTACCTGTCCCTAGTATATATTCATTATGCTATATGGGATGGGTTTATCTAAATTAATTTAGTCTTGTAATTATGCACACCAACAATAAGCATAAAACAATGATGTCATTGTAGATACGCGAAGATATGAAATGATTAATCGTGCTGATTGTTGCTGCATTGCTGAATGTGATCAATAATGTTTGAAATTTTGTTACGATAAATTAATGATAATTTTACAGTTGTGTTTGCATGGCTGTGTTTCGGTTTGAAGGATGGGATATGGCGTGAATTTACTGGGTACAGAGGAATAACACCCGAGTCCTCAGGAATGGCAACGTATGTGGGGTATCATGGGCGAAACAGTATACTCTGTTATGTCCATGGTACTGCTCACGTCTATAGGCGAGGGTTACCACTTTCCATCAGGTGGGCCGTCAGCTTGTTTGCCATTCTAAGTTGTATAAAAAAAATCAACTGAGTTCCCCATACGTTAGAACCTAGATGGTCGCATACAGCCCGGTTTCAGAGATGTTTCCTTCCACGAACGATCAGGTTATGAAATGAGCTCCCTATCGAAGTTTTTTCAAGAGACTACTAAAATAAAAAAAAAAAAACAAGATATTCCAAAAAATTTATGTCAAAAATAAGTATTAAAACTAACAATTTCTCCCTAATACCGAGTAATTTGTACATTCTGGCATCCCTTTTCACGAATACATGAATAAAAAAAGTTGGCTTGTTTTTGGTAAATGGTTATTAACTTAGTATTGAGACATTATTTAGAGATGTATAATGTGAGGGCACTAGACACGTTGAAAATGCAAATATTTGCATAACATAAGCCCACGGTGGAACGAGACAATGTGACTTAATGTTTTTCGCGGCCGCAGGGTCTCGGTTGGCAGACGCCACGTAAAAATTGGTGATGCAACCGAGAACAACTGTTTTGGGTAACGTTTAACATAAAAAGGTATAAAATATTTATAACAATAAATACTATTATAGTAAATCTAATATATAAAATTCTCGTGTCGCGGTGTTTGTTACCAAACTCCTCCGAAACGGCTTTACCGATTTTTATGAAATTTTGTGTGCATATTGGGTAGGTCTGAGAATCGGCCAACATCTATTTTTCATACCCCTCAATGATAAGGGTGACCTTCCCCAAAACATTTTTTTTTGACAAATTTTTACATTTGTATTTTATTATGATTTAGCATTGAAAAACACATAAAAATTCAAATTTTCCCGTTTTTCTGATCAACCCCTGTTTTTTAATCGCGATATTTATTTTCCGCAATATGGTTGCAAGATGGCGATCGAATATAATAATTGTAATACGATGAATTTTCATGTATACTTCTCGAAATAATGTATACGGTAAAGCAACGTTTAGCAAGTCAGCTAGTTTATATAATAAAATACAGTAAATTGCCGCGTGGTCCCGGCATAGAATAGGCCACAATTTCCTTTCCCGTGGGTGTCGTAAGAGGCGATTAAGGGAGGGCGAGCGATGGGCAGCGACGTCCCTTTTAAAACATCTTCAAAACCTAATTGCGGTTGCCAATCCGCTTGCTAAGCGTGGCAACTATTGGTAAAACCCCCAAAGGGGAAGGCTTAGATTCAGCAATGGATAGTTAATGGCTGATATGAAGCTATATTATACTGGTATTAAATATTATAATGAATGTTATTATTTTACCTTCAAGCGAGTCCTCGATTCAGCTAAAGTGTTTGGCAACAATTTGCATAAGACGAAGTTTCCACAGGTGTCTTTGCATTATTGTTTGTATTATTTGGACGTTATACGTCTCGACTTTTGGGTGGTAACGTAGATATTTCGCAGTTTTTTTAATGAGTGATAATGGAATGGTTACCCCGCCCGCGCAATCGGTATACACTGGCGGGTCACCAGTGGCCAGTTGGCCCGTCGTGACGAATTCCACAAGAATTAAGCACGTTGGTGTCCAGAGGGAACCACGTAGAGGTCGAACTCGTTACCTTTAGTTTTTATTGTTAAAAATGTCTTAATCACACATTATATTTTAATGTAATAACTACCGGTTCAACTTACAATACGTGTGATTAGATTGAGAAAGCTCGACTTGTTTGAGGATCAGTTCGTGATCCTTAGTCATGAGCGGCTATGACGCGAACGCGATTACCTTTAGGGTTTGAAAGTTACTAAGAACTAGTAGATATATCACTTAGGCTGCCACATACTCATTATTGCTTTATTTTATTACTGTTCAATGTGTGAGGGAGGCCGCAATAATAATTTAACTAATTTTCACTCGCGACTTTGTCCGCGTGACTCCAAAGTGTTGTTTGACCAGGTTACAAAGTAGTAAAATTTCATGGTAACTTAAGCGTTCAAAGATAACAAACATATAAATTCGCTTTCACAATTAGCATACAAGAATATATTCTAGTTTCGTTGCTTGAGATCCAACCCACACTGAGTTCAATTGATTTTGTATTTTGTTTATTTAAAATTATGTGAAATTGTATCAATAGCTGTTAAAAGGAGTTTTGTCAGTAGTTGCCACGACTGGCAGGCGGGTTGGCAACCGCAGTTACGTTTTTATAGATGTTTTAAGAGGCACGCTGCTGTCTATCCCTCGTTCTCCTTTAGTCGCCTGTTACGAGACCCACGGGATAGTAAGGCGTGGTTCATTCTACGCTGGGACCACTCAGCTTTATATATTTATAGCAAGTATTATATTACAATAAGATGTATTTTTGTTACAGCCCGAAGCCCTCACAGCGTTACCCCAACTAAGATACCGAGCCCTGTGGGCACGCTTCTGAATAGGCGGACACCGGTAAGTTACATCTCCATTGCTTTAATGTTTTTGTCACGTTTTATCTCATATTTACTTACTTATTTAAGTGATTAATATAATATTATATATGTACAGAGATACAGACTATACCTGATAGACTAGACAATGTTCTAGTCCAGCAATTTCAAAATTTTCCTCATTTCACCCTTGTTATTTGTTAGGGGTTTAATTTGTCACCCTCTAACCACTAAAAAAAGTCAAAAACAGTAAACTGTATTCGTGTTGCGATAGGCTAAAAATTTTGAACAAGGTTTTTTTTATTACAACTTAGGATGGCAAACAAGCTGACGGCTCACCTGATGGAAAGTGGTAACCGTCGCCTATAGACATGAGCAGTACCATGCACATAACAGAGTATACTGTTTCGCCCATGATACCCCCCATGCGTTGCCATTCCTGAGGACTCAGGTGTTATTCTTGTGTACCCTGTAAATTCACGCCATATCCCACCCTTCAAACAGAAACACAGCCATGCAAACACAACTGCTTCACGGTAGAAACTCGAATGGGGTACCCAAGCAATCGACTTTTGTACAAATTCTCCCTCTGGTTTCTAAATCGCTGATAAGCTCTAGCCTGTTTACCCCCGTAAAATGGACGTTGTACGGTTGTTACTTCGCTGGTGTAGGTACCGCCAGGTCCGGTATTCGCTAGGTAACTTCACGCAATGATATTGGGTGCAAATCAAAAGACATCGAATAGACGGCGAATACATGATAACGTTAATTTGACGTTTAATCCTGTAATTTTTAATTAAATCCGATTTTATTGCGTCACGTGACAAATAAAATATATAAAAAAGATCTGTTTGATTTTCGACCGACTTAAAAAATAGTGTTCAATTCGGTTCTATTTTTTATATGTTTGTTACCTCAGTACTCCGTCATTTATAAAGAGATATTTTTTTTTATTTGAAAGAATTTAAAAGTATTTCCAGTCAGTTATCGGTCTCATAGAGATTTCATCAAAATCGGATCAATGCTTTAGTTTTTTTAAATAAAAATAACTGGTCTGGACGATTTAAATAGTTTTTTATTTTATTTTTATAATTAAACCAAGCATAAAAGAATTATAGTAAAATATATTTGACGTGTGATAAAAGATTTATATGTAATTAACAAGCTGTAAAATGTCTAGATTTAGCTGTGTTACAAACAGGCCAATCGTAAAAAAAAACAAATATGGAAAGTCTATATCGGTATTATGATGTTCGAGATGATTATTAGGTAAGCGATGATATTACAAAATCAAGGACTTGTTTACTTTGTGATAATGAATTTTGTCATCTATGTACATAATGTTATGTAAAACTCGTCCTAGTTTTACGTTTCGGTTGGTCATTTATTTATTATACACTAATATTATAATGCCTAAGTTTTTTTAAAGTAACTTTGGCAAACAAGCTGACGCCCGACTTAATATAAAGTGGCCACCAATACCAGAGGGTGACTTTGTACAAAAGTCATTTGCTTGGACACCTCTGTCCCATTCGTGTTTCTACCGTGAATCAGTTCGGTTTGAAGAGTGGGATATGGCAGTGAATTTACAGGGTACAGAGGAATAACATTTGAGTCCTCAGAAATGGCAACGCATGGGGGTATCACGGGCGAAATGGTATGGTACTGCTCATATTGATGTCATCGTTTCCAGGGGGGACCACGTGGAGGTCTACCTGACAAAGCATATTACTAGCAATGGGACTGATACTACCTCCCCCCCTCATTATAGAGTAGGTGTACATGTACGTTCATTCATTTAATCGTTATCGCACTAACGGGGACGCGATTTCCTCTACAAGCTAAAATTAGTGTACACTTATTTATGCAAGCAAGTGTATGTAGAGTGGAACTGAGAAAGGTTTCACTCGTGACGTACTGGTGTGTATAGTTTTTTTTTAATGAGTGAGAATTGAGAATGGGATGGTCACCCCGTCTGCGTTATCGGTATACGCCGGCGGGGCACTAGGGAATGGTAATAGTTGAGGATGAAAACAGATCAATTGAATTCACTGCGAGAATATCTAACCTAACTGCGGTTGCCAACTACTGGTAACCCCCCCCCCCACTCCTCCCTCCCTTATGGGGGGGAGGCCAATGTTAGGCTGTGTACAGTTAACGGCTGATGTATTCGCATGCGCCCCAAGCAGTCTGACGGTAATACAATTTTTTGTACATACGTATAGGAAAACTTTTTTGCTACTTTCTATCAAAAAGCACGTTCGTGGACAACACGAAAACAGTGGGCCGGAACGGTATCGCAGACGTGACGTCGTTTTCGTAACATGAACGACAGATTGATAATGGCGTCGATTCTGAATGGAATCTGTCTTCAAAATTAAAGTTTCAGTTTTGATATCATATCTTCGTCGTCATATCAGCCTTTAACTGTACACTGCTGAACGTAAATCTTCCCCTTGGGGGGTTTTGTCAGTAGTCGCCACGCTTGGCAAGCGATTTGCCAACCGCAGTCAGATTTTAGAGATGTTTTGAGAGGGATGCCGCTGCCCATCCCTCTCCCTACATAAGTCGCCTCTTACGATACCCACGGGAAAGGACAGGCTGGCCTATTCTATGCCGGAGTCACACGGCCAATCATGATTTGATATCACAGCTAAATCTTTGTTCTGATCCGGTAAAAAATTTTATCACCTACAGCGCCATCTATTAAAAGTATTTTGAAGTAGCGATTGCCATGAAAAATTACCTATTTTAATTTTTTTAACCCCACTTGAGTTTTGCTTATAGTTGCGACGCCTAGGCAGGCGACTTGACGATCGCAGTTAGGTTTTGGAGTTGTTTTAAGATAAACGCTTCCTGCCCATCTTTCGGCTATTTAGTTCTCTTAGTTACCTCTTACGACACCCACAGGGCAGGAAAGGATAGTCCATTCTATGCCGGGACCATACGGCGGAAAAGCACACTTATACAATAATAGCCATAAGTTTTTATTTTGTATAACCCGGCGAGTTGAATAGGTCTCTCGCGCTGAGGACGTAATATCATGGGACTAGTACATTTACATAGCCGGATTATACAGAGTAAGTCCTGTTATAATTCCTGTGCAGAGTTTCTAGTTCCCATTAATGGTAATCGACCACGTCAGCCACGATGGTTTCCAGGGGAAACCATCGTGACTAATTCTAGTTTAATTCGTCAGGATGGGCTAACTGACCTACTTTCATCGTCATCTGTCATCCCTCATTGGTGCCCTGCCAGTGTATACCAATAGCGCAGACGGGGTTACCATACCATTATCACCCATTAAAAAAAAAAAACAATTATCATCCATTAAAAAATCCCATTTAAGCTGACTCCAAATCTAGTTATCACTGATTGATGAACACCTATCAACTTGGATCGTGTATACTCGTCACTGTGTCTGCTCAGCCATCCATTTAAAGCCAAGCGACATCTATAAATCAGGCGTACACTTCCTTAATACGTATAAAAACAAATACGTTGATACCAAATGGCCAACTATGCACACTAAATTTAGCTTTAGCCAACGCTAATCATATTGTTACACAGTATTCAATCGTTTTCACATTGTGTTTAAGTCCATTTTCAATTGTACACGCGATCAACAGGCAATCATGTAATTAGTACTGATGAATAATAACAGTGTTCGCTCATTGTTTTAAATTACCGCACTTTGTTGGGATCATTCTAATTTCAACGGCTTTTCTAGTAGTTTAATAAGTCTCGAGTTACAAAAAAAAAATTAGATTGGCACCGGTAAGAATCAATAGGACTTAATGACATTTCAATAGAGTTTAAAAACAAACGAATAATTGACCCGACCATAGACAATTTACTGATATTCGATAAGTATAAATATATAATAAATACAGAATAAAAATAGCCTTATGTAAATTTTCTATTCCAAATAGTGCCTGTATGTTATGCATTTTTTTTATTCAACTTAGAATGACAAACAAGCTGATGGCCCACCTGATGAAAAATGGTAACCGTCGCCTATAGACATGAGCAGTACCATGGACATAACAGAGTATACTGTTTCGCCCATGACACCCCCCATACGTTGCCATTCCTGAGGACTGTAAATTCTGTACCCTGTAAATTCATAGCCATGCAAACACAACTGCTTCATGATGGAAACACGATGCGCCTGTATAATAAATTTCATAACTCTTGTTTAAACCGTTAAGGCGCTAAGAGGTAACAAACAAACTCACTTTCATATTTATAATATTAGTAAGGATTTATCTCTATATTTTACTTGGCCGTGTTCAAGAAAGACCATAATGGCATTGTAAATGGCTATTTCTAGATAGAAGGTCTTTTAACTGTTGCTTGCTGAGTTTACAACAAGTTTCCTAATACGTTAACATTATAAAATTTGCAATCTATCTTGGGAAAGGCAATCTTACTAATAACTAGTTATTTGTTTATCTACGTATCTAATCGAAAAAAAAAAATACGTCGTAGCTAACCGTTTAATCAAGTTCAATAACCACTGAAGTGAGTCACTGCGATTTGTCGTTTTCTAAATGTATCGTATTTTTTTTTATAGCTGTATATGGTAAGTTCGATGCCAGCGGTCTTGCCTTAGTGCGCCGTAAAAAAGCGGTTCAAGTACAAATTCCGGAACGTGACTCACCTGTCAAACTTTCGCGGGATAAATGGCGCGCGCGCTTCCAAAATGGCGTCATACAATACTTTGTGCTTTTCTGAATCGTAAATGATTGCTAACGTGATTTTAATTAAGTGTAAATGTTTAATGTAATATGATTTCTTCACCTTTTATTTTGAATTCACTAATACTTTATTTTGCTTTGTGTATCGTTTGCCTAAAGATGCAATTAGGACACCAAGCAAGCGGATTTTGTTTTTTATTACTCCTGCATTTTTTTTTACTGTAAAGTGTAAATTTTTTAAAATCTCTTTACTATTCTAAGTGTACTCTTTCGTTAGCTCGTCTACATTCACGAACTATTTTGTATTCGCGTAATGCAAGCC